AAAACAACAGCGAACAACGACGGCGACTAATCATTACAAATAAATATTTGCATCTGCTACTTCTTGGCACAATGACATCACCACTGAGAAGGACACGCCCGGACTCCTCTGTAGAAGAGGGTCCTCCAGCTAGTCGGCGTCGCACAGCTCAAACTACAGCCTCGACTCCTGTACCAACTTTGCCGGCCCAAACCAGTGTCGGTACCGCCGCTGCTGTACCTGTTCAACAACAACAGCCCGATAATGATGACGATGAAGAAGCATTAGAAGCACAAGACGACACTGATGAACAACCCATTATTGATGATGATGATGACGAAGAGCAAGATAGTGATTTTGAGGAAGCCTTTCCGGGTGCTGCTGCTGCTCAAGCTGAAGCAGTCGAAGATCAATACGAAGAAGACATGTCGGATGAAGCCGATGACGAAGATCATACTGAATATGAACAAGATATTGATCAACCTGATATAGACGAAGAAGAAGACAAAGAAGATAGCTTCGAGGCCTCCTCTGCAGGAGAAGAAGTTCTCACTGGTAACGATGGGGAGATGGAAACAACCACTACAACAGGTCCCACAGGTAGCCAACGACACTTCAGGGAAGATGAGTTTGTCATAATGAACGCGAGCGTCAAGATGATGGATTCGATTGTAGATGCTGACGGCCCATACAGGGACAAACTGATCCAATTGGCCCAAGAGAGTATCCAAAAATTCAACCGTTGCCGGAGTCAAGATGATACACAGCTTGGTCCCGAAAAGTTGGTTGATGAAGCTTGGAACTCAGTGGAGTTCGTGTGGGCCCCTCAGTCGAATCGAAATGTCCAACAAGGAGCAACTGCTTTCACGACGATGGGATCTGCAGGCGAACATTTCTTCCCTATTATTGCTTTCAGTGACTCTTTCTGGGAGAACGATCGCCCCAGCAGAGAATCCAACCTCGACCATGATGCTATCCTGGGTACGATGATGGGAAAGAAGACGAAGCTCTTGTTCTACAAGAAGCTGAAGCACGAGTTCCTACATGTAATTCACCGGTATCTGGACATTATTCACAATCACCACTTCAGTGAGGATGGCACCCCAGTAAAGTACACGCCATGGAATCAAGCCGACACAGCCAATGGTGTTCCTGAGGTTGGTGATCATGACGAGGAAGAAGATGCAGGAGGACCCCTACTCCCACGTTATAACAACCAGAAGCTTTCCGAGACCAACCCCCTCTGCTTGCAGCACAACGGAGCATTCCTAGAGCTGAATGGCACCCAAGTTGATGGCTTACTGAACGAGACCATATACTTCACGCTTGTACGGGCCATGCGCCATGACACGGGCAGGTGGTCTTGTCTGTTTTCTCGGGCCTTTCAGCACGGAGTTTTTGCGGAAGAATTCTATGATGGCGACACTGGGACAACCAACTCTCGAGCTCGTAGGTCTACTGGGACGGGAACTGCATCAAGAATGAGCTCACCTGCCGCACCAAGAACTCACAATCTTGGCAGAGGGGGAACAGCTGCATGGCGTCTTACGGGCAACACGCCCATCGTTTTCCCCGAATCTTATTTCTCACGCACTGTGTCAAGGTCAAGTTCGCCTACGGAAGGACTACGAGACAGTTAGATGTGCCAATGACACAGCCAGCAGAGATGGAAAGAATTGTAAATTGCTTTCAAGGACACTTTGTCCAAAGAAACCTCGCTTGCCGCTGTCGGTACAGGTACCGGTACTGGTATGGGATCTATTTTCTCCAACAAATAAGCTAAAACATTGAGACGCAAGGGAGATGCAAATACCCTGAAAAGGTCAACTAAATGTCTGTCATACCAGTTACACTGTGTACTGGTCTATCAACAAACTCCTTCTTTGAAACATGTAACGAATTCAAAAAGATGGATCTTCTCTGCAGGGACCAGGTGGACAAATGAATTCACTGCTTGGACGTGCCGCCAGCAAACATGACATTACTTGCGCTACTCGTTGCTGTACCTGCTCTCAAAATGTCTGGCCTCGATTGGAGGATGTAAAACATGGCCGACCTGGGATCACCGGGTGGCTCTGGAGCAGCAGCAAAGTGGTACCCGTCATTGTTGCTACTACCACTTTTAGCAAGCATCTCGAGTTTGGCCTTGGCCAAGACAAGAGCCACAAGCGTGGGACTCCATGCTCCCATGTCTCGACGATGGAATTCTCGATTGAGCTGCAGGTACAATTGCACTTGAGCACACTGAGTGAGTGGTCTCGGACCCACAACACGTTCAAGCGATGTGTTTTGTTGAAGTGACAGGCACAGAATTTCCCGCAATGACATCCAACCGCGCATCAATTTCTTGTTATTGCCGAATTCCTCCATATTGATGCGTTCCACCTGAAAGTATTCCACGGACCGATTGGACCTTAGTCCTTGGAGCAGCAACAGCTTGAGTTCGGAGGCTGTCAAGGTGCCCAAGGAGAGGCTTTTCAAACGACAGGACGGGTCTCTCAGACCTCGAGCAAGGGTTTCGGTCACCGTCAATTGTGGATTCTTGTTAGGATGCTGTGTCGGTGTCGGGACAAGCGTATGGAAACAACGGGCATCCAAGACTTGCAAGTCTGGAAAGTCTCGATTTGCCAGGATTTGTGCCATGCACTGTACCGATGACGTGGTCAAGGCGTAAAACTGAGGCATCTCGAGTTTGACGAGAGTGCTCTTGTGCACCTGTACCATTCTTTGCCAAAAGGCTTCATCTTCTTCTTGGCAGAGCACCTGTCGTTGATTGTCATCATGCCAGATGTGCAGTGCAGCAATTGGAGGCGAGTCAAATGGCCGGGTGGAAGCGAGTTAAACGCAGATTGCAGGAGCTGCCAAGAGATGTAAGAAAATCGGCATTCTACCAACCGTATCTGTTCAATCATTTCTGGTTCCACTTGAAACATGACAATGGCCACATGTTGCCAGAATGAAGCTTCGTTCCATAGTAAGCAAGAAAGATCTTGATGCGTCACAATTAGACCCTTGTGGGCAGCAAATTGCCGACGTAGCAAGTACTGAACCACCACTCCTGGAGCTCCATGATGATGCGCCAAAAAAGATGGCAGGATGCCCTCGTCGTCGTCGTCTTCATCGTGCAATCGCATCAAAATGCTTTCTGGAGCCGCTTCCAAGAGAAGGCGTAGCACCGAAAATGTCATGGAGGAATTCTGCTGGCAGACATGGTGCAATGGGATCTTGTGGTTCTCATCCCTAATGGTCAACTGATCAGGTAACTTTTGTACCAGAAATTGAATCTTGGCGTTGGTGGTGGCTGTCAAGGGTTCCTGACAAGCCCAATGCAGCAATGTGGACGGCACTGTTGATGTGGCCGGATCTAACTGTTCCCCAAGATCCGCCAAAGAGCCGCGCTTCAGGAGATCCCTCCAATGGTTCATGTTGTTGCTGGTACCAACCATTCTTAATAATATGTCGACTAATGAACTGATAGCCAACCGACTCAACTCTTGTGATGCACTTGCATCCAAAGTCTATCTAATTGTTCCTCTGTCAGCTTGCTATTATATTAGTAGTTTCGTCTTGGTTAGTCTTAATTCTTGATGTGTGATGGGCAGCTGATGGGCGAAGCAATGCATCTTGAGATCTGGAAAAGACTTCTGGGCTTCTGGAAAGAAGTCTGGAAGTACTTTGGAACCTTTCTTGGAAGCAGATGGGGTGACGTGTCGCAGTTTGTGTCGCAGACATGACAAGACAGCTGGACGATCAGCTGGCTCGTTCTCCAAATTCTTGTTCTTATCCTGTACTCTAACACCATTGTGGTCCCGCAAGATTGACTGAGATGAGCTCATAACCAGCGAAAGGCCAAGACGCTCACTTTTCCTTTGGACCACCCCGCCTTCTTCGCAACCACAGCGACGACAGTGTCCAACGAGAACAACGATCGAAGGTGGTCGCTCTCCTCTCCCTGAATTTGCGTCCCAAAACCAAATAGGTTTGATCAAAGCTCCTTTCAGATCATTCCTTTTTAGATTAGCGGCAAACACAGAATCCAGCAGACTCAAAGACAAAGAGGCGGCAGTTCTGCTGCAGCGATCGATACAGCAAAATGGGCACTGCACAGTCCAAAGTCCAGGAGCCACAACGGAAGGAGAGACTTTCTGCCAACCAAGAATTCCACAATCAGTTCAGAGCGTTCTCTTCCTCTCGAACATTTGGACCACTGCTATTATCATCGACACAATGTGAACAAGATGCGCCACCCCTTCCTCCTTTGGATGGAAGCAGCAGTGAACCTCCACCCCCTCCTCCCGAAGAAACCAGCATTGCCGAAGCTGCCAGGTCTGCCTCGGCGTTTGGGAATCCTGGTCCTTACGAAATGGTCGCTCAGGAAAGCAAACGCTTAATCACCTTGGATACCTACGATGGATTCCGATGTGACATTAGCAAGCAATTGAGTCCCTACATGGTGGCCATTCACAACTTTTGGTTGGGTACCAACATGATGCAAGATGGACGAAAGAGCACCTACGCCTTTGTCACTCAGGTAGCCGATGAATCCGGATTATTAATGGCACGAGTCGACCCAGGACGAGGGAGTGTCGATGGCCGAGTCCACAGAGCAATACTGGGTGGATTGGCCATGGGAAAGCTGCAATTAGGACTCAGCACCGAAGGCCAACAAGATCAGGCCTTGGCAGAAATTGATTTTGGAGGCGAAACATGGACCGCCAATTTAAAGTACGGATCCATGGGAGGAGGAATTGCCTTTGGATGCAACTACTTCCAAACTGTCACGCCACGGTTAGCCATGGGTGGTGAAGGAATGTTCCTTGGAGCGAACAAGTCGTTAATGTCAAATTATACATTGAGGTATACACTGCCAGCAAAAACGGGAGAGGAGGATTTGCCGTCGTCTATTTTGCCGGAGGCTTCTACTGCGATCAGCACCCCTCCTGCAGGGAGCTCCACTTTCTGGGCGAGCTACAACTCAATGGCCGGCCAAGCCTCGCTTTCCTACAAAAGGGTCGTTACACCTGACAGAGTGACCCTGGGAGCGGGCTTGGACTTTAGCCCCATGTCACTGGAATCTCAAGTACTATTGGGGGCTGAATTCAAATTGACCCGCAGCAAACTTAATTTCTGTGTCGACGGGTCAGGTCACATCCAGTCCACTCTTGAAACCAAGCTGGGGATGGTTCAGGGAGCGCCTACGTTGTGCTTCTCTGCCGATGTTGACCATATGAAGGATGAGATGAGGTTTGGATATGGCCTTAATTTTGAAGGATAGTAACGTAAATCTAATCTATCTATCTGGTTGAACATAAACCGTAATGCTTAAAGATTGCAAGAGTTGGGCAGTGCCGCACAGATATTTACACAAACTTGCAGCGAAATTGGCGCTAAACCCTTCCCCGTGCTGCTTACTAGCTACCAGTGGTTTGGTTCTTGCCGATGGCGTCAAGGTGACAGCAATTTTTGCATCTCAAGGCATGCATTGGACTCGACTGCAAGTGCCAAGGGTAGATTTCCTCTCTTGTCTTTTGTCTTGGCAGCCTTTGGGTAGATCCTCAACATTTCTCGAACTGTTTGGACGTCATTGCATCTGTCTTTATTGCTGACTATCAGATGGAGCGGTAGTCGCCCCCGTTCGCCGCGGACTTGCAACGCCTCCGGAAACAAATTAATTAGCTTGATTGTAATGCTCGAGTCCTCGTAGTTCATGCAATCGAGATGAAGAGGATACACTGCAAGTCCATCATTGTTGCATTTTCTGCTCGCATCTTCGTTGAGTGATAGGATATGGGCAATACAGGCCGATGAATACCCTCCTTTCTTGCTCAAAGCAATGTGCAAGGGAAGACGGCCTTGGTTGTTGGCAATCTTTGCCACCTCGGGATATGCTGACAAGAGCTCCATGATAACTTCTTCGGATTTCTTACTCTTGAGAGCTGCATGCAGTGCAAAACCACCGTTGAATCCCTTTTCTCGAGCGGCCCCAGGAAAGAGACGAAAGACCTTTAATACTATTCTGCAAATGGTTTGTTCATAACAAAGTTGGAAAAGATGTAAGTATGCTACACGCGTTGTACAGTTGGGGGGCAAAAGCCATCGATCGCTTAGTACTCACGTATCATTGTGGCAGTTGGCAAGATAGTGCAAGGGAAGAAACCCGTATCCGTCCTTTCGTGAAACTCCCTCAGGAAATGTGTCTAGAAGCATCGAGATGACTCCTGCTGGGGCACGAAATTGGCATGCCATGTGCAATGCGAGACTGGTGAAAGGCTCCGGTGTGACGGTCCTGGCGGCTTCCGGATGCAGCTTCAGAAGTGCTCGAACAATACTGGCCCTGATCTCGGACTTTTGCATACAAACCAGGTGCAGGGGCATCAATGCATCTTTGTTTGCAATCGAGGCTGCCTTGGGATATCTTTCAAGGAGCTTCAAAATGGTAGACTCAGGACCGTCTGTTTGTATTGTCAAATGCAAGGGGAGCGCATTGTCCTTTCGAGCATGCTCAATAGTTTCTGGGTAGCGTGATATCAAGAATTCAGTTACTTTCCATGACTTTGACCACAGGCATGAATGGTGAAGGGCCAGTTGCCCTTCGGAATCAGGTGTGAAGACACTCTCTGGGTATGCATCCAACAAGAAGGTGACAATGCGAATGTCCGCTCCCCAGCGAGCTGCAAAGTGGATTGGCAAGCAACCGCATTCATCAATGTCACGGAGGGCTATTGGATGCACATCATAAATTGCTTTTACAAGTTTGATTGACGGTTGTAGCCTCAAAATCAGGCATAGAGGGTAGAGGAGGATCGTCTTGGAATCATCAGATTCCAGCGGGTGTTTCTCGCGAAACAGATTGGGGAACTCCTTCAATAACTTTGTCACAGCTGCTTCGTCCAATGGGCGAGTTTCTCGGTCGGTGATACAGAGGTGCATTTGCAGCAATATGCGTTCTGCTCTGTGCACATCCATCAATTCTGATGTTACCGGTGTCGCGACGACCACTTCGTCTGAGACCAATGCTGCAGCCACTGGTACGTCGACGATGGCCTCCGTTAGATTGTCCAAGTTGCCCAGCCCTGAGTCTTCATACGTTCCTTCCTCATTCTCATCGTCGTATCTATTGCTGTCAGCGCCCCCAACAGCGTAGGCTCCCGGTACTCCAGCGTCTTCCATTTTCGCGTTGATGTTACCATGAGAATCAGTTGAATTGCTCGAAAGAGGCATCACAAGGACGGTTGCTAAAGAAGCACTGAGTACAGAGTCAGATTAACTAGCAGCTCCACCATCGCTGTCATGCGCACATGGTTCATACTCTCTGCTCTCTCCTCCAACATCGCAGTGCCATGGACTTCACTTCGGTCTGGATTCGAGGGGGTGATGCGATGTGACGGAAGACACTGGTTGGGGAAGGTTAGGGTTATTCGAAAAATGGGCATGAAACTCTTTGGCAATGGTGCAGGTGTGGAGGGCACCTCTCGGGCAACCGCAACACTGGTTTGTATTTCAGTGGGATGTGTACGACTGTATGTGCTACCGTACACAGATTCTCCTTCGGCATTTGAGCTTCAAAAAGGGGGGGCGCAGAACCAGACCCCCCTTCTAGCTAGCGAGTTGACCTCCCCAGCATGCAAAAGCAATGCTAAGGCCGCCTGGTCCACAATTCTTTTTCGTCTTGTTATTAAAGCTATCAGAGGATTTATATTAGTGTATCGTGCAAATATCGAAGACACGGAACGAAAACGAAGTCACGTAGCCTAGCCGCAACCGCAAGTGGCATCCACAGTTCGCAGGATGGCTGGCTGGCTGCCAGCCAGGTACGGTAGCTACAATTAGGTTGACCCTACTCTTTTGACTGACTCGACTCACTTCAACGAACAGCTCTGCTACCCTTCTTGCCAAAGCTTGGCAGCAAACGATTAGTATATAGTAGCCTGAGCAATTGGGATATCTGCAGGCTCCACTTGTTGCCATGCATGCTGCTGTGTAGTTGTCTGCTGTTGTGGAGGTTGCGCTGCTTGCTGCGAATGATACCACGCGGGGTTCACAGCAGGGGACGGAGCAGATACCGTTGGTTGTTCATATGCCGGGGGTGCTTGTTGAGTGTTGGAGGTTGTCACCATTGCAATACCATGTTGAGGTAACGCCCCTTCTTGAGCCTTGCGCATTGCTTTTTTGTTCTTTTGGTAAGTGACACCGTTGAAGGGAAGGAGTAGCCCAACAGCCGACATGAAGAGACCAAAGATGAGCCAAAGGACAGCCCAAAAGCCGTAGGTCATACCGATCAAATCCGCCACGGTATGAGCGTCTGTAGATGTCTGTTGTCCATTCACATAGGCTTCACCTTCTTGGATGTCCATCAAGTCGTTGATGGCATCAAGGGCGTTGAAGGAACAGGTTGCGGCCAAAAAGCAGTACATATACAATACTCCTTGAGCCGGTAGTTTCCAACCAAAGAGAAGGAGCACGATCCCAATAGAAAGGGTGGCGGCAACTCCAAAGGCATTTCGCACATACATGGCACAACTCAGCAGCATGGCACACCCTATGACAATCAGACCCACAGTAGGACCTCGTCGCGTACGTCGCCATAGCAGCAGAAAGCCTCCAATGAGGGCCGTGCCTGTGTATCCAGCAGAGGCTACAAAGGCTCGTTTCCAATCTTCCCCTGTTGTCCACGTGTAAGCGAGGCCACTACCGTCCTTGTATACCATCAACTTGCGGACTCCACCGCCAACGAGAATCGCTGCCATGCCGTGACACATTTCATGGACCCAGGTCGAGAAGATCATGAATGGATAGAGAATAAACCTCACTGTGGGAATATGAAGAACCACAGCCATCAAGAGGATTGCTACCAATAGTGCCTTGTCGCGCTTGACATTTTTGGTGAAGAAGTTGGTTCCATCGTTTGTTGTTTGTTGCAGCAAGTGTTGTCTCTTATTGTCCTCGGCAGCCTCACCACACACCTCGGGTGGTGTGCAGAGAGTGTCCAGCATATCGGAAGCCTTGGTGCTTTTTCCGCCCGTCATGGTGATGGTGGCAGTTTGGGATGTGCTTGGGGTGAGGGTGAGCGGAAAGAATGCTTCCGTGAGAGGAGGCGAGCCCTTGAGCCAGCATAACTTGCTCATTCATGTTGGACACTACTCAAACAGGGCTTTGATGAAGACCGGCAATTAGACATTCTACGTTGAATGTTGTTCATTTGGTAGTATGAAACGAGAAGGTGATCGCTGAATTTGACCTTGTCCTGTTGTTGCTGGTACCGCAACTTCCGCTTGAGCTATTCAATCGTGGATACTCTTTGGATCTTCCCGCCACTTGAGTGACATGCATCTGATGGATTTTGCGGAAGCATCGGCTGGCATTGCAGATCATCCAAAGAATTGATCCGGCAACCATGATGAGGTGCGGAAGCCCTGTCCTCGGTTGATACTAAAACGTACCGTACGGAAGCCATCCTCCCTTCATCCTCCATCACACAAAACTTGGGATCGAGTTGCGGCGATTTCATTGGATTGTAGTGAAGTGGATTAACGTTGATTGATGCCTAGCGTATCGGAACTTGAAGCAATGAGAATGGTTGTCGGGATCCTCCTCCTCCTGCTGATCTTTTGCACTTGTAGTGTCGATGCTACTGTTGACGAACAGCAAAATGTGGATAGCAGGAAACCACCTCCTCATATTCTGTTTGTCTTGATCGATGACCTTGGTTGGGGGGATGTAGGATTTCATCAGACCAGCGAAACTGGGCATGATAGACCAGAAGTCAAGACTCCTGTCATGGATCGCCTAGCACAAGAAGAAGGGCTCCAGTTGCATCGTCATTATGTTCACTGCAGTTGTACAGGAACCCGCACCTCACTGCAATCAGGTCGGTTTCCAGTCCATGTACAAACAACACTCAAGAATCCAGAAGTTCCCAGTTCCGGAATGCCGCGCAATCTGACAGGGTTAGCAGAGCATCTGAAAAGTGCTAACACTAGCTATGCCACTCACTATGTTGGAAAATGGGATGTTGGAATGGCCACACCCAAACATACACCCAAGGGTAGAGGCTACGATACTTCGTTGAATTATTTTGAACACAAGGTAAATTTTTTTGTTTTTGTCAATTAAAGTCAAAAAGAAGACCTTTGCCTCTGTGCCCACCAAATGGCCTTGGACTAAAATTGCATTTGGTGCTGTTTTCTCTTCTTGTGGTGACAGAATGACTACTTCACGCAAGAATGCATTCAGTCAGTTTGCTGCAATGACCACATTCATCGTCAGGACAAACCAACAATCTATGACCTTTGGGACACAGATAAACCTGCCCGAGCACTGCAAGGCAGTGACTATGAAGAGTTTATTTTTCAAAGGAGAATGTTTGACATCATCGACAGTCATGCAGAACAGCAGGAGAGCAAAGATGATACACAACAGCAGCCATTGTTTTTGTTCTATGCTCCTCATGTTGCGCATTGCCCGCTCTCCGTACCACAATCCTATCTGGATCAGTTTGACTTTATGGATGATGATGCATATGATGATGGTGATGCTTGCAAGTTCAAAACCTATACTATTGTGGGCCCAGGCAAAAAGCAACCGAAGCATTCCTGTCGGAAACAATACCACGCAATGGTCAAGCTGATGGATGACATCCTCGGTAGCCTTGTTGAGCGTCTCAAGAGACATGGAATGTGGGAGAATACCTTGATGGTGGTCACAAGTGACAATGGAGGACCCATTGACCCGCAAGAATCAGCTGCTACTAACTATCCCTTGCGTGGTGGAAAGTATAGTGACTGGGAAGGCGGTGTGAGAGCCACAGCCTTTGTCAGTGGTGGTTATCTTCCAATGCACCAGCGTGGAAAGATATTGGAGAAACCTATTCACATTTGTGACTGGTACGCAACATTGCCAGCTTTGGCTGGAGTCAATGTTCGAAAAAACGATGAGGACGTTGCTGCAGACAAGAAGATTCCACCAGTGGATGCTGTCAATGTTTGGCCTCTCATCGTTGGTGAGGACGGGGGTGATAGCATGAACGGAGAGGTCTGTCTGCAATCTGTACCTCCCCGGAAGGAGATACCCCTTTCCAAGCATGCCTTGATTGATGGCCATTACAAACTGATTTGGAACGAGGAAGAGATGGTAGCTATGGCTGGATGGACTTATCCGGACTACCCGACAAGCCACACGAAAGGGAAGGATGAAATCTATGGTCAAATGCTCAACTGTAGCACTGGCTGCCTATTCAATGTTCACACTGACCCCGGAGAGCACAAGGATGTTTCCAAATCACACCCCGTACGTGTTCAAGCCATGAAGAAACGGCTTGAGGAATTGCGAAAGGGGTTTTATGACAACGATGACCGTGGAATCGATTCTTGCCCGGAAGAATATGCTGATGAAGACAACAAACTGCCTTGTGCATGCTGGATGGCGACAAACTACTATGGAGGATTCCTTGGACCATATCAAGAAGTTGACTTGTTACCAGAATTTCTTGACCGTGTACAGGCGAAGTGAGGAGGATAGGGGAAGCTTGACAAGGTGGAAACCAGTCAGTGAACACTCACATTTTGAACTATCATGCAGAAGTGTTCGGCTAGCTAGTCTAGTGTTGCTTTTGCGGCTCAACTCGGAGGATACTAAATTTAGCTCTTTCTTCATGTGCCTAGAACTTCAGGGCTTGATCGGCGGTAGAACTACCAGTACTTCAAACGGGAAAGTTTCTATGGGTTAGAGGGAACCGCGTTTCCGGACTGAAGTCCTCCATTGGGGTGCAGCGAGTCAGCTTAGATGGCGCAGAATGCTGTCGCAGGACCCGACGCAAGCACAACATAGCTTCCAGCTCTCCAGCATCTTCACTTCTTCGTTCCCACGCGTTGATATCGATCCAGACCTTCGCACATACTAGGCTAGGACACAGCTACTGTTGTTGCGTGCTATTTCTAGCGTGGATATGTTAACTTAGCTCTATGATATGTCCTTTAACTAAGACATGTTCAGATTGGACTCTGACATTCGACTAAGTCGATGAAAGATGAGTGGGAAAGCTTGACGCAAACTGCGCGGCCGTTCTGCAAAACATACGTAACAAGCTTTGATGCTTGCCCTCAGTGGCTCCAAAACGGTGAAGATTATTGTGTAGCACAGGATGAACGACAAGATCATGGATTGCGCCACAGATGGGTCCTGCACCACCGGGTCTTTGTCCTTTTCTAGTTTGCGCACCAATGCATATCCTGTGAAAATGACAATCGCGGCACTGATCGAACCACCAACACAAGATGTAATGTGGGTGGTGATGTCGTCATGAATGATAGCTTCCATGCCTAACAATTCAAGCAGCATTCACATCAAATGAGGCGATTTGCAATGATGGGCAAAGTTTCATTGTAAATACGTACCAGCCTGCTCGACCAAGTTGGACACATCCAGGGCAGCTCGTTTGTAGCTCTTGTAATAGGCCGCAACATGACTCATGGCAAGATCGGAATGAGCCCTGACGAACGCTCGTGCCATGACATTGGCTCGATTCAATAGCTTGTGTACGACAGAGGTTCCGTTCGTGTCCTGTCCAATCTGCATCCCCCGAAACCCGCCACTGGTGTTGACCCCCGCAACACCCATGACCACCGACACAGCGCGATTGGGCTGGAAATCACGAGGCTGTTGTTGCAGTCGATGAACAAGGGCTGTCCTCGTGGCGTCAACTTTGCGCAATTGGCACCAGACAAACTGAGCTGGCCCTCCAAGTAATCCACACTGTGCCACGGATCCAAAGGACACACTCATGCCTGAAAGAAAGAAGGACTTGACGGTTGCTTTTGGAGCATGGTTGCCAGCATCCCGTGGGCTGCCTCGTCGGTTGTATTCAAAGTTTTCATCGTCCTCGCTATTGTTGGAACGAGCGGAGAATCCGTATTCGAAATCGTCCTGGTCATCGTCATCCATCCCATCAAAATCCAGGACAGATTGATACACCGATGCATCTGCCGTGCGATATTCTTCGGTGATATCCGATGTCTCGTAGCCAACTTCTTCGTCGCCCTTGTCTTCGTTGTTTCGCCTGGCCCGTTCTTGCATTTCGTGTTCTTCCACCATGGCCGCATTTTCGGCAAACCAACTCGCAACACCTCCGGATGCAATGAGACTCAACAAGCGTGCAATGGTCCCCGTGGCCCATTTGCCACCGACCAATGCCAGAAACACCGTGACGAAATTGCCGGTATTCAACGCACCCATAATGGCCCAACGCCAGACCATGGTTACCATAACTTGCAGTGTCAAGAGCGTGACAATGCATCTATGAAGTGAATTCCGTCTCAAAGATCGACTCAGAATATCCAGAGCCATACATGTCAGTGCCTGGAAGAAGGCATGCCGTGTACTGTTGGGTTGACTGGAATGCGGGTTGGACGGCGCCCTGGTGGAGGGGGAATCCATAGCGACTCCTCCGCTTCCCTGCAGTTTCCACCGTCGAAACAAGTATACATCTCGAATTAAATACCACAATGGGATCAATGCATAGTGGAGTGCCCGTGGCAATAAAAAGTAGACCGCCAAGACCATGATGACATTCATGGCGACACTCACGGGTACACACGCTAATAAGAATTGCGAAGCTTTGTAGCGTAAATCATCTCCTTCACCACCACCTGCTGTGCGATACAGACCCCTCGCCAGCAATAATGTGGAAACATATGCCAATAGCACACTCCAAAAGGTGGCATGTCTCAATACGGGAAGTGCCAATGGCGACATGGTTTGGGTATCTGGCATTCCAAAAATATTCTGACGATGCCAGAGCAAAGACGGCCATACTAATCCTACGGGTACCATGACACAAAAGGCAATGGCCCAAGGCAAATCTCTAGGCCATCGAGGCCGTGCTCGAAATCGTTCGGCAGGAGGCCGCGTGTCGAGGTTGTTGCCATTGCTGTTGCTGATGCGAGTCATTGGGCCCGACAAGGATCGACTTGACGATGGTGCGTCCGACTGTGTAGGAGATGTCTTTTGCGATGTCGACGGACTCGTGGGTCTACTGGCAGTAGTGTTTCGCGTGGTAGGACCCGAGCTTTTGGTAATAGTAGGACCGCCCAGACTGTCCAACTGAGGCAATCGCAAATTGGGATGGAGAGTGTTCTTTGTATCCACCTTCAGAAATCGTTTGGGAGGTTCTGGAGTCTCTGCAATATCGTGGGCTTCATCCAGATCCAAAGTGGCATCGGCAAAGAAGAGGCCACCGGAAGAGGACGAATGGTTGCTTTGACTACCTTGGAGTTGTTGCTGTTGTTGTTGCCGTTGAGAAGCAGGGTTAGAGGGTGTACCAAAGCCGTCGTTGCCACTGCTCATGGCGTCGCTTGAACAGGTTCAGGGTGTTATTAACTGATAATCTCAAGAACTGCTGTTGCTGTTGCTATTGCTCTTATTACCGTTGTTGGGATGGTGTCAAGGAAGTGGATGCCATGCAAAGAGCCAATGGGTGTAACCTACCATAAGAAAAGATCTATCTGTGTCCTCGATCTGATCGTCGAGTTTGCTGTTGTTTGTGCTTCCACGTTAGACGCGCACTTCTTCCATTGTGTGTCTCTTTGTCAGGGAGACGGGAGAAAAAATAAATGCTTCCTCTACCGGTACTAGTAGGTACATGTATCATGTATCATATGTGCAACACTCATCAGCTGCAGCACAGTGTATGATCTGCCATTTGTACTCACCCATCCATTATGAATGAACAAGCCTATTAGCAATGGACTCACCTTTTAAAATGCATCATGTACCAGTGTGAGTGAAACTCAGCAGACACTATTTAACTCTGTTTGTACTGGTGGTATGATAGTTGCCTTGCACAAGTCTCACCTAACATGAACTACTGTGATGATTAATTCAATCCCCTAACAAGCTTGGCTCGCTTATCAATAGTGGGCTCAACTACCTACAAGGAATCACATCCGGCTATAAACACATCCAATTAGATCTAGCTAGTAACTCAGTTCAAATAAATCTAGACTACTGAAATAGATGATTTGCCATCATCCAATCTCACATCAAAGAATGATTGAATTTCGTCTCCCGGAGACGATTTGCTTTTAGGGGTATGGGTACTAATGGGGGCAGAGGTTTGAATTATACCCCGCGCGCATTACTTAGAGGCCCCTGTAGAAGTCTACGTATTTGACTAGTATTGTATTGACGGGATACAGTCAACGCATGTACATGCACATGATACTCGCCTCACTTTTTCCCACAAGTTTCGCATGGATGAAGTATGAGAAAGGGAGTGTCCGACAATGGATCGTGGTGTCACATAGTCGATATCCACCATGTTGGCTCATGTGTTTGCTCTCTTTCGACAAGAGCATGGCGAAATGACGGGTTCGCGCCATTTTACGAAGTTTACAACATTAAGGCCTCTAAGTTTTTTATCGGAGCCTTAAGTCCAGTACTCTCAAACACACAAAAGAAGAAACACAAAACTCATTTCGCTGCGATTGGTCGCCATGACAAGGAGCCTACCGCTACAGCTATGGCTACCGCAAACGCTTCTACTGACTCTTGTTGTTACGAATCGACCGGTCGCTGTTGTGGAGTGTTTCGGCCATTGTCGAGGAGGAGAGAAAAGGGCATAGCTTTCGCTGTTTTCGTTGGCTGAATTTATGGAACCAATGACTGGAGAGGATCCTTTGTTTCGTGCGTCGGAGAGTGAGTCGAGTCGGAGAGGTTCCGACTGTTTACCCTCTCTTAACCTTGCGTTAGACAAGGACCAGTAGACCAGCAACAAGTTCAATTTTCCATCTTCTGGTGCAACAAATAGACATAGGAATTGTCTCAGAATGTGGAAAAATGTTGTTGCAGCTGTGGATATGGCTTTTGTTGATTCAATCCCACAAATCGGTTAAGAGAGGACAATGAGGGATGGCCACCGACTGATAAACATGAAAGCCGTACCGGTATCCTCCTCTTTTCGTTCATTCTTTCGATGCCTCTACCTTTACTCTATCTTTACTCTTTATCAAGATGATGCTATCTCCTCTTTACAGCGGCTACTCCTCCTCAAGACGTCTCCACCATGACAGGCTCCTCTTGTTTGGTTAGGCTGGAAGCAGCGGCAGCAGGAGTTTCTTCCGGATCGTTCTATGATTTCTTTCTGTCGACGACAGCTTCCACGTTGGCTCTTTCACGGACGACCATGATTTCTCTACTGCGGATCAAGCGACCATGACGCCTCTTCTTACACAGAGCAACGCTTGCAACAAGCGGCTACTACTCCATGCAGAGTTCGATCTACCGGAGCGATGATCTATCGGAGCGAAGCGACGGCCGTTTCGGGGCGAAGCTGAAAGGGATGAGGTGTTGGTAATAAAAGATTTATGGAAACGGAGACGACCCAGGGGGCGTATGAATTATTCAGTCAACTCGCCCGTAATCGCTTACAGCTCTGCCGTCAGGTGGGAAGGTTCGATTTGGATCTTTGGCCATCCCAGCTACATGTAGCTATGTAGCTAGAACAACTCCGCTCACAATGGCACGACGGTTGCCAAGAAGAAGAATGCCCCAGACGTCACACTCATGATTCGGGGCACCTCTACCCCGGTCCCGAAAGCCAGCATGGCCAACTCTCCAACTCAACGCACACAGGCATAGCCCCCTTCAGAAATCGCTCTCTCAAAATCATCGCTAAAGATTGGTGGACTTTTTCGCTGAAATGCTTTTCGGGGTACATATTATTTAAGCTGTAAATTCTTTTTAACTATTTTACGAGAGAGAACCTCACTTTTTACCACCGTTACTTAGACGCCGATTCGGACCTCGCTGTTTTTTTCCTTTCACATCCACTGTTCGCTGATTCCTTGCCAGATCTTGCTCCTAAATGTCTTTCGGCTCCTTCTTCTTGGCGATGGCCCTCGCATGGTTGACTGCGGATGGCAGGTTCGTTGCCTCCAACGACATGGTCATAGCAACGCCCTCCATTCTGTTGGCGATCTCTCCGGCAGACAGCTCCATCATCCTTGGATTGTGCAGGAACTCATTGGTGAGGCCCTGCCTGACGATCCTCATGATCTCATCAATCCTCGATTTGCCACCCTTCGGTAGCTTCAGCTTCTGGGGCTCATTTTTCTTCTCTTTTGGCGGCTTTGGTTCGCCCATTCGGTGTGGAGTGGGTGGCCCTTTCTTGGCTAGGATCCTCGCGTTGTTCTCGTTCTCCTCGATGAGCCACTGCTTCAGGGTGCCTTCTTCTATGTCCGACTGGTACATCTCCTGCTGGGTGGAGAACGAATCTGGAGACCCTGATTTCCCACCACGTTTCCACCAGCCCAAACGGTGAGTTTTGGTTCGGCTTGTCACGAACATGTCTGCGAGAAGGAACATAAATGGCGACTCACCATATGTCATGTGTCCACCGGTGAAGTTTCCTGCCGCATCCTGGGCTGCCATTCCTTCGGCGAGCTGCTGGTTGATTTGCTTCTCGATGGAGGGGGGCTGCACATGAGTAAGTTTCTGGGCTGGAGGAGCCGACGGAGTGAGTGGTGGGCGCTTCGCTGTTGTTCTCTTCCTTGGTTCAACGTTCTCCTTCTCTTTCTCAGGTGTCTCGTACAGGCGATCGTCCTTCGGGTTCCCTTTCGCTTTCAGCGGCGACGTTGGGGGGAGGACCTGCGGCGACTGCTGGGTGAAGAATCCAAACATGCCGTCTGCGTTTGGCGAGGGAGGGTTTGGACCTGGCGACATGATGCTCCTTCCTCGAAGCGCATACCTCACTCTGGAGTATTGGTTAGACATTTTGTGACACGACAACAATCAACCATGGCATCATTGGTCTGGGGGGAGCCACTTTGGATGCAGTAGCGGCGGCATGTCCATTCAAATTCAAATTTAAACTGGGGCCAGCCAATGAATTCCTGCCACCACGGCTATTAAATTCGCTACAATTCGCCGGATTGCCCCTTGATACTGCATCCATTGGTTATGGCGGACGGTAACTACGGCATTGGAACCAGTCTAGCGACAATCAACAATATCTATTTATTGATAATAGTATAGCCACCGGCTTTGCCCTGTTCAGTCTCCCGCCTCATCTCCAAAAGGCATCCCGGTTCGCTTTGTTCGATACTTGGAGCGATTCCAGTCAAAGCAAGCAGTGCCAAAAGTTCGTTTCTTTTTTGTTATAGTAACTATCATAAATTCGTTGCATCCATTTCCTATTTCTCCTAGTTGTCTCCCTTCTGGAGTGATGCCACAACGGGGGTCTTACCGCCCGTGGTGGCGCCGTCGTCGTCGATCCAACCGCAACCGTACCCGTCACGACAATATCAATCGTCGAGGCAATGGTACCCTGAGTCGCGGACAGCGTCGCCGCAGAGCTGTGAGGGAAGTCTATAGGCTCGAAGATGGTGGAGTTATGCCCTCTTTCACCGAACTCGAACCGGTGCTAACCAATGAATCGGAAGCGATCAACTATTTCTACAGGAAGGGAGTCATCCAGCCACCCACGTCTTGTCCAAGGTGCACGAAACAGCTACGTTACAGCCCCAACAAGAGGAACACGGTTCGGTGCAGGGCTTTCAACTGCCAGTTCATCATTCCATCCCAGTGTGACCAATGCAGCGGTGAAATGGTGTCTTATCACAGCGACGATGGAGAACTGGTTTCGTCGCAGTGCCAGAACAGTGCGTGTCACTGGACGTGGAAGGCAACCGGTACAGGCTTCGAGTGCGGTATCCAGAAGGGGAGTGTCCTCCAGCACGTGAAGCTCAAAAAGAGCCAGGTGCTTTGGATCGCCTATTTGTGGCTTCTTAAGGTGCCGGCGAGAACAGCTTCCACCCTAACAGGTGTTTCCGAAGGAACTGTCGGCACTTGGTACCGTCACTTCCGAAGAATGGTCATTGAGATGGTCCTACAGGCGGACAGAGACGACTACATGCTGGGAGGTCCGGGATGTATTGTGGAGATGGACGAGGGTAAATTCGGACGTAGAAAGGACAATCGAGGCAGGTGTGTCAACGCTGACTGGGTCTTCGGAATGGTGGAACGTGGAGGTGAAAGGAAGTTGGCATTGGCGGTGGTTCCGGATCGTAAAGCCAACACACTCCTGCCCTTGATTATGGCTTTTGTCCGCCCTGGAACAACAATCCACACTGACATGCACGGTGGCTACAACAAGATTGCCACCCTACCTGGATACAACTACACACACAAGACTCTGTGTCATAAGTACGAGTTTGTGGCCCAGGATGGTACGCACACGCAGACGATCAAGGGCAACTGGAGAGTTCTGAAGAAAAACGTGCCGGAGTCCCAGCGGGAGGGAAGCAACCTACAGGAATACCTCTATGAGTGCATGTGGCGACGCAAGCATGCAAGACACCTGTGGGCGTCCTTTCTCGAAGGAATGGCAAGACTGCGTTACAGGCCGGAGGACATCGACCGATTGTGGGAGATGAGAGAAGACATGGAAGAGTCATGGACTCCCGAGGAATCCAGTGACGACGAGTCACTCGAAGACGATTCCAGTGCCACCGATAGCAGTTTGAGTGAGGTATCATCCTCCTACATGGTGATCTAGTTGATTAGTTAAAGAAAATTAGTAGTAGTGTTGTTGAAACGTCCATTATCTTTGTTTTTGTTACTAGTAGCAGTGGCACAACTGCGCCATGGTCGTCCCTTTTTCTTTCTTTTTTCGCGATGTTTTGGCTTTTTTGTTAGAGGCCATATAACGGTACGGGTATCAATTTGAGAGTACAAAGCAACTGTACGTGAGTGCAAACATTAGTAGGGGTATCCATGATCGAATTACGGGTAATTAGACATAAGATTTAGATGGTCTGAGTCACGGTGTGTCACGCTTCGCCAAACACATAGAGTACATTCGCAACTGCAATCAAGACTGTTATGTATTTCTGTTTTCTACATACGCCCAAAAAAAAACGTATACTAAACAGTGGGTTTTCTTTGTAAGTTGGGCAAACGGAAGTTCGCTGAAAATGAGCAAGTCGACCATAATTGTTAAGTACCAAGTCTTCAGATGTGTTCGTTTTTGTTGTTGCTTTTCTGTTTGGCGAAAGGTTCCGGTACTGGTTCTACATAAACAGCGTAATTTTGGACAAAACCCGGTTCAGTTTTCTGCGATCACTTCCATAATCTGTAAACCCCCTGCCGAATCTCTGCATCTTTTTTCTTTCAACAAAACAAATAATGGAACAATGACGGTGATCACCGGCATTTATCGGTTGAAGCATTGTGTTAACTTTTGCGTTGCGAAGGATCGACAATGGTGAACGGCGTTCTAATCAGGTGAGTTTATGCGTTTTACCAGACGAAAATTCGTTTTCCACTCCCCAGCAGCTATGATTTTGTTTTTTGGATTTCTTTTGGGAGCGGCGCCCGCACAGTTTGCTGTTGGACTTTTCTCACGCACGCCCTTTTTTGCCGTTTGACTTATAGGTGTGTCCCTGCCACGTCAGGGGCACAGCCGTTAGAGGTACCCGGACCCGGCACGACCACACAGCGCAACCAACACAATCCACTCATCGTTTGTTCTACCGACTGGCTGCACTCCTCCTCGTCTCACACTCCATCCCATCCTTTGTTTTACCGAGTAGCTCATCAATAAAAGACACAGTTTGAACAATGGAAGTGGAACCATCGCCATCGTCGTCGTATCCGCATCATTTGTCCGTGCAGGCACTGGATCAAGCCGTGGATTTGATTCTGAAAAATAATTTTGATGTGGATACCAAGGCGTGCTTCATCACCTTGATGAAGGTGCTGGACAATGTGATCCAAAAGCCGTTCGATCCCAAAGTGCGATCGATTCGATTGGGGAATCCTGCCTTTTCCAAAAAGGTCTCCTCGAGAAAGGGTGGAGTCGAGTTCTTGTTGGCGTGTGGCTTTGTTCAAGAGACTCCGCCTCCACCACTTTTGAGCAAGGAAGCTCCCGAGGCATTCTTGTTCTTGAGGGATGACGATGGCGACAATGCTACAGTCGATCCAACCACCCTGAAAACCAAAAAGGAAGCTTACACATCCCATATCATCACGGCACGACGGCTCTTGTTGACTCGTGCCATTCAAGATCTTCATCTCAAGGCAGAGGAATTGCCCACTTACAGGCCACCACCACCTCCCGTGGCGACGCACAATACTGCTAGCACGACGACGACAAGTGCCAACAAACGAGACGCATCGGCCACATTCAATCCCTTCCAGCCACAGCGCCATGACGCAATGTCGGCCGCCGTGGGAGCACAACTCACACCCGATGGAAACTACGTCTCCACCACGGAAAAACAACTCCAAAATCTACAAAACAAACAAAAGAAATTGGAAAGCAAACTCCACAAAGAAATTATGAATCGAGAATGGGTCGGCAGTCGACCCAATGCCAGTGGAAAACCAACCGCCATTATAGCAGCAGCGAATAGCAGTCCACCAGACGACGACAACAAGGGCAATGGCAGTTTGATTGCGGCACAATTCGCCAAACAACAAGCTGCGCAGAAACAACGAGAACAGGGAGGATTCACCACCAAGAGTATGCGAGAATTGGAACGACTCAAGAAACAAAAGGTATATTCGCACACCCAAATTGCATTGCAGTTCTCCGATGGGACAATCGTACAGGGAAAATTCTTGCCCAAGGAAAAAATCCAAACCGTCATGACGGCACTCCAACAAGATTGCTTTCTGGAACCCTCTGGCGGAACGATGGAACTCTACGTGACGCCTCCACGCAAGACACTAGACCCAAAGGCAACCCTGGACGCCGAGGGACTCGTTCCCGCCGCCAAGGTGTTTGTCAAGTGCGCGTCGATGCCATCCTTGAAACCAGAATTATTCACCACCACTGCAGCAACAGCCTTTCCATCGTCACAGCCCATTGTCCACAATGGCAAAGCAAACGAGGACAAGGGCGAGATGAAACCTGCCGCTGCCGCCGCCAAACCAAAATCCGCGGAGGACAAGGAAGAAGAAATGATGCGACGAATGCTGGGGGGTGGTCGACGATTGGGTGGTGGTGGTGGTGCCAAAAATAGCAGTGATGGGAGCAAGCCAAAGTCGGGTGGAATGCCAAAGTGGTTCAAAAAGTAAAACGAAACAAAACAATATCGAGACGACCTCCTTTGCTAATGAAGTATTGGCTCCACAGCCAAGCAAGTATAGCTAGCAAGTAAAGAAAGACATCCATAGACGATAGACATTCTAATACAATGAGGTAGAAATAACAGTGACCAACCAACCGGTGCAATTCCAAGATTGCTTGCCGAATATTATCGCTGGCTAGTCACAAGAGGTAGAAAGGCGGCTCTCTAGCTAGAACAATGGAAACTTTGGCAAGTGTGCATCACGCTGCGCTGCTGCTCGTTTGATACCCTGATAAGCAAGCCAACCTTGGGCATAATTGACGAGGAATACCAACACTCTTGCGCCAATCTTTTCGTACCATTTTGCTGGTCGTTTCCCTCCCCTGCCACCGCCTTCCACGGCATTGTCATCCTCGTCATCATTGGGTAGTATCCCAAGCAGCTCTTGTTGTGTTTCAGTTGCCTGCATCATATCTGAAAGAAGTCCCTCCAATGCTGGGACATAATCAAAATCGGCATCCCTCAAGGCCCCACCAGGTTGGCATTGACTGGGAATGGCCATTTGTGCTGCTTCCCGAAACTTCATGGTGATTTTCGATGCAGCTTGTGTCCATTTTGCTTGGTAATCCTCCTCATCTAGATCTTCCTCCTCGAAACTGGATTGCTCCAAGGCTGCCTCATACTCTTTGCCACACTGTTCTCGCAAAAATTGCAGGTGTTGATTGTACAGCTTCTGTAGAGGTGGAAGAATGTACAACCAAAGCCCACGTTGAGCCTTGGCTTGCATTACTTGCTCAGATGAGGGTACCTGCTCCTTGACTGCAGTCTGGAAGGTGTCAATAATCTGGTCTGTTTGGATGGAAACTTGTCGAGAGTTGGTTGTAGAAGAGGAGACTTCTTCACCTTCAGAAAAACCAAGCCATTGCTCTTCCAGGTGCATTTCCAGCTCATGTATCTGTTTCTTCGCAGAAGTGAGAATATCCATTAGGATTTCTTCGTAATCCGCTGTGGTTGTGGTAGGCTCAACATCGCCTTGGTCCGTTGTTGGCCCCTCTTTTGCCGGTACCGGCACATCTCTCTTTGAATCGGAAGTAGGATCTTCTATTGCTGGTTCTGGCGATCCCACCATATTTTCTTCGTCTTCGATATTGTTATAGGTTGGCGATGTTTCCTCAACCTTTTCTTCTGTTAGGTCAGTTGCTACATCTACAATCTCAACAGTGCTTCCCACGACAACTTCATCTGTCGGTTGATATGTCTCTTTGTTCGTCTCATCAACAGCACCACTGGCTTGGTAGGTTGCTTGCAACAAGATTGGAAACTTCAAAGCATCTATAAGGTTGCTGGTAGTGCATTTGGGGTTTGCCATGGTATGATGCTGCAAGATGTCTTTCCAGGTGGATGCCAATCCATTGGTACACTCCACGGGGTCGTCCAGACTCAAGAGGTCCAAATTGGAAACCATCTGGGGAGTGATTGAAACCAAGTCTCGCAGAACCAATTGATTCTTTATCTCTGCCATAGTTGGGTCTAGCCTTTGATTTTCGGTTGACGAGGATGACACTAGCAGTACGAGGACCGAGGAAACCATACCATTATCCGCTCGCTGCTGTAGTCCATCGGATAGTGCCTCAACAAATGCAGTATCCAAGCATTTCTTGGCGGATTGTTGTCGACGCGATGTATCCAGCACCAGGACAATCACCATGATATCACAGCATGTGGCAAGGCTCTTGAGAGCAGCAACATCACCATTCCAAAAACTACCGTGTGGGAAGGCAGTGAGGTCTTGTGGTGGTGGTGATATTGCAAGGCTTTGTCCATTATCTTGCAATATGCAATAGTTGGATTGCAGAAATGACATCAGCGGCCCATCCTTTAACTCAATCCCATCATCTGTGGCCACTACCTGCACCCCCACGGCAGTGTAATGAGACTCATCATCTCCCTCTCCTCCTCGTATTTCCCCCCATGCTCTTCTTGAAGGTATAGCTGGATACTTCTGAAGATACGGTAGAGCTTCGATGCTCAAGCCAAGGAAGAAGACATGAAAGATGAGACATAGTTGGCGGTGGTCCATCACGAGTATTTTCCATGAAGCTGCAGCGTGTAGTTTGTGTTGTGTCTTGTGTTTTTGCCGCAACTGCGATCATGTCGAAGCTGGCATAGCTGCTGTGTTGTTTGTCGTCTGTTGGTTCAATCTCCCACCTCGAAGCGGTTCCAGGTAGCTAGCTACCGGTACTAGGCTCGCCTCGATGATATTATAATCTAATAGCCTAGTAGCTTGTTTTTAAAAAGTACATGTAAGTAAGTGTAATGCATATCCGATCCATGCCCCCTTGGCGATTGTCCATCATGGATTGCCTGGTAAGAAGCAAACTTCAGTTCTTCCTCTTGAACGTTCTAAGAGCCAAAACGATGAGGTGGTTTGTATTCAGGCCACCGCTTCAACCTCGTTTGCAACCTTTCGCTTTTTTGCATCGGGGTTTTTAGCTTTGCCGTCATCGCTGTCTTCCTCATCGGATGACTTGCCAGTTTTTGCCAGATGCATGAGACCAAGTTTTCCCAAGATATACTCGCCCGATTGACAGGGATCATATACTTCTCCCCCACGGTAATCTCGACACGAAGCAATGGTTTCTACCTTGGTGTCATAGTCCACGGCCAAAAAGAAAGGAATGGAGTGTCGCGTATTGGTGGAACTGGGATTTGTGACGCGATGTTCCGTGCTCTGATAACGGTCATTGGTCCAATACTTCATCATGTCCCCCAGATTCACAACAAATGCATGCTTGTTATCCTTCAAAGGTGCTGCTGACATCCAGGATCCATCTGCCCTTCGGACCTCTAATCCTTCCGAATCTGCAAACAAGATTGTCAGGAATCCGCAGTCCGTATGGGCTCCACATCCTCGCCGAATATCACTCGTGCTGCAGGACGTACTCTCCGAAGCAGGAGCAGTGGGGGGATATCGTAGTAAGACCATTTGACTATGCGGTTTGCGCTGGGCTTTGGATGTGAAAAAGTCCGGAGGAAGATCCAAACTCATTGCAAGGGCTTGCATCAACCGTGTGCCTACAATATCCGAGAGGCTTTCCCAGTAAAGTCGAGCGGCAGCTTCAAAGCCTTTCAAAGAGCTGCCATTGTTCGTCTCATCTGGCCATTGATTGGGTCCGTGCATAGGACTCTTTGCCGAGGGGGTAGATTCCGCCCCAATCGTGAAAGACTCCTTGAGGTCAGGAGGATTCTCTGCGGCATCTTCTGGTGTGCAGGAATGGGCTCCTGTTTCCACACTGTTATACCCTCTCCAGAGAGGATTGTTGCGTGCCTCCAATTTGATCTTGTCCTCAGCAGGCATATCGAAAAACTTGCTTGTGTGGTCCGACATGGTGTCCATGACCTTTTCATCACAGCCATGTCCGGTAATGTAGAAGAATCCCACGTGTTCACAGGCATTGCGAAGCTGTATGGCTACCTTCTTTTGCTCTTCCGCTGCAGTGCCATTGTCACCACCAACGCCACCGCTGAAAGCAGATAAATCGATGATTGGAACGCTGGAAGACTTCATTGCTGTTGGTTTTTGGCCACTGAGAGCACGAAGAATGACACCAGGCAATTGTTGAGTGGAACCTTGCGATTGTGAGCGAGAAAGAACTTACTTGAGAGACTGAACGACTTGACTTGGCCTGTGATGGGAATACAGTAAGGTGTGACGTGGTTCTCTGAGACAGCTTGAAAAGCCAGCTCAAGCTGTGCCGAATAGTAAAGCCTCAACGCTAAATATATACGCAAGCCCGGACCGCCCGAAACGTCCTCGTGCTTGCCTCAAACTGGAAAGAAAATGCCAGCAGCCTCTCATTGCTTGAGAACTCATCACGCATCACGATTGATCAGTTATCCATTGCGTTGTGATTGATATACTTTGATAGATAATATCGACCATGAGCACAGCTATGAAGGGAGCAGACGCTGTAAGTAAACTCTATTGACGTTGTTGTACCAGTAATGCAGTGGTTTTTGTTTTTTGGTCCTTCGAAACGGCGGTCGTGTCTGGCGTGTGAGGTCCCTTTCATTTTCCAATCTTGTCTCACGCTTTCTCGTTCTCTCTCCACGATGGTTGAACAGCGTAAGGGTGCGTTCAAGAAGACCATCGATGCCGAAGAAGGTCGTCGGCGTCGTGAAGAGACAACGGTGCAAATTCGAAAGACCAAGAAAGATGCTCGTCTGGCCAAGCGTCGTCAAATGCCGACTGGAGGTTTGTCGGCCCCAACTCCTGCCGGAATGGCCGCCGCTTCCATGTTGATGAACAGCGGCGACACTACCTACTCTAGTATGGTGGATGCCCAAAGCCAGGGCTTTGGTGCCAGACCTGGTGCAAACGTCAATGCCAGCAAGCTAGACCAATTGCCGCAAATGGTGGCTGGTGTCATGGGCAACGACCCTGCCGTTCAAACGGAGTGCACTACTCAGTTTCGTCGTTTGCTGAGTATCGAAAAGAATCCTCCCATCCAACAGGTCATTGAGGCTGGAGTGGTTCCACGATTTGTCCTATTTTTGCAGCGAGATGACAATCCAGCCCTCCAATTCGAGGCCGCCTGGGCACTCACCAACATTGCCTCTGGAACCAGCGAACACACCAAAGTCGTCATGGAAGTCGGCGCTGTTCCAGTGTTCGTCCGATTGCTCTCTAGTCCCAATGATGACGTGCGAGAGCAAGCTGTTTGGGCGTTGGGAAATATTGCTGGAGATTCTCCACCATGCCGTGATTTGGTTTTGCAGGCCCAAGCCATGCAACCCCTTTTGATGCAGCTCCACCAAAACTCGAAACTGTCCATGCTGCGCAATGCCACATGGACTCTCTCCAACTTTTGCCGTGGAAAGCCTCAGCCTGACTTTGAAAATGTCAAGCCTGCTTTGCCCACTCTGGCGCAGCTCATTTTCAGCCCCGACGAGGAAGTGCTCACGGATGCTTGCTGGGCATTATCGTACTTGTCGGATGGACCCAATGAGAAAATCCAGGCTGTCATTGAATCGGGTGTCTGCCGACGACTCGTGGAGCTCTTGCTGAACCCTTCTCCCGCGGTTCAGACTCCGGCACTCCGCACGGTTGGAAACATTGTTACTGGAAATGATCTCCAAACTCAATTCATCATCAACAACAATGCCTTGCCTTGCTTGTTGGCCCTGCTCTCCAGTCCAAAGAAGGGAATCCGAAAGGAAGCCTGCTGGACCATCTCCAACATTACTGCCGGAAACAAGGATCAAATCCAGGCTGTCATTGACAACAACATTATTCCTCCACTCATCCAGCTGTTGACCAACGCTGAATTTGATATTCGAAAGGAGGCGGCTTGGGCTATTTCCAACGCTACATCGGGCGGGAACCCCATGCAGATTCGCTTCCTCGTTCAGCAAGGTTGCATTAGACCATTGTGCGACCTCCTTACCGTCAGCGATCCTAAGATTGTCACCATTGCCTTGGAAGGACTGGAGAACATTCTCAAAGTTGGCGAAGAAGATTCTAAAAACACTGGAGGGCAAAACCCAATGGCTGTCTTTATTTCCGAAGCCGATGGTCTCAATAAAATCGAAGAATTGCAGCAGCATTCCAACAATGACATTTACGAACGTTGCATCAAGATCCTCGAAACGTACTTTGGCGTCGAGGAAGACATGGTGGAGGAAATGGCTCCTACCACTCAAGGCGACCAGTTCGGATTTGGAATGGACCAACAGGGAGGCGCACCAGGCGGCGCCTTTGACTTTTCCGGTTGAGTTCGAGATATGCAATAAGATTTCCTGTCTCGTTGGTCAAAGTGTCACGGGCTCAAGATGCGGCAATTCTGGACCGTATCTTGAACCCGTGATGCCGCAACACGACACTATCCAACACCGGAAAAGTAGAAGAAAGCGCCCTGCATGGTGGTTTCTCTGGCTTTTTGCCGGTGTGGCCTTCTGGAGTGACAATCGTTAACTGATCTGATAGTCACCTCACAAGCCCACAAAACAACACACAGAAGACCCTGACTGTTCTCTCTCGCGCCACAACGTGCCTTTGCCGGATGAGAATGTTCAGGAGTAAATACTGGTACAAACGTACAAACTAATAATATGCTTATAGCGGACTGCTGGCAATTGGAACTTTCTTTTAGTCCGTAGTTAGTGTCCTCTTTCCGTTCTCTAGAGCACGAGCACCGTCGTTGCTGTTTCCGCGGAGCCGTTTGCCATGGCTTCTACATCGCTGGGATCGACTGGAGACTCAAGAAGATCCATTTGCTTCGCCTCGATTCAAGAGGAAGGAAATAGTCCGTCGGTTGTTTTGGAACGTCATTCTCACCGAGTCACTTCTCATGAATGTGTCAATTCCAACGATACCACCTACACCATCGCCTCGCAGAGATTCCAAAATTGCAATGTTGCCAATATCAATGCTGAGCCGTCTGGAATCATTGAGTGGAAGCCCTCCCTTCAGGGACCTTCCGAGGTTCAACTTGCTGCTAATGTTGATTCTGTGAGTAAGCTCCATCGCCACAGAGTCACTACCCATTGCTCCCATTCCTCGAAGAGGGTTGAGAAACTTGGAATCACGAGACAAGCCCAGGTCTGACACTCCTCTCCAGCTCAAGAAAGTGTCCGATGCGCCCGAATCGACCAACATTTTGACAGGCCCTCGTCCTCCGAGCGTAACATCAACGGAATAGATGCCCAAACTGGGTAGCAACGACATGTCTCCCTCGGCGACGACGACCAAATCCGACGGCGGAGAGGGCAACGGATTTTCTTTTGGGTAGAGAGATATTGTCCCCTTTCGAAAGTCCATATCCATCCCTTCAAATTGAGTTAGAAAGGAAAGACCAATGATGCCATCCAGACTGCGTGGTAAGGCTCCAATATCCTGTACGGCTGCTGGTAGTGGGCCAAATGTCTGCGAACCCAATCGGAAACTTTCCAACTGTGTCAGGCCAGTTTGGCTAGCAACACCTCCCGCCCCAGTCATGGTGACAGGAGTAGAGAGGGATGGCAGTTTGTACTTTTCAACCACAGAAGGCCTCAGTACTAGACCGGAACAAGCCGTATCCAAGAGCAGATTGAGTTCAAACTGGCTTTGCCAACCAGGTGTAACTTGGATTCTTATGGATGGATAGGGGCAATCCTTGCTGTCCACGGAAAAATCTGCCCCATTGACAGTAGCAATTCTGCTTCCAGCATCCAACGACGTGAGGTAAAGGGGTGCTTCTAGAACGTTGGTGCCTTGGTTGTCGTTTGTGGTTGAGGCTTTCGATTGTTCCCCCCAACCATTGGTTGCAGATGTTTGAGGAGTGGACGTTTGGTACGGATTCTGCTTTCTTGCTTCGTAGAGGCGCTGGACTAAGTCTTCTTTCTCAAACATACCAGCCGTGGAGATTTTATTCCTGTCCAGTTCTGCCTTGATTTCCTTTGCTCTCATGGAACGGATTTCACCGAGCGACACTGTGATGTCATCTGCGGCTTGAACCAACAGTGGGCTTACAAGCAATGGTCTGGCTTGTACTAACGGTGTACCCAGGTATGCATGTGTGGACACGGACGACAACAAAATGAGCACGAACGGCAACATGAAGACGGTGGGTGTGGGAAGGCTCATTCTCGTCATTGTTTCGGTAAATGTGCAACTGAAGCCTCTTCGATGTTCCTAAAACTTTCTCAACTTGATTGACCTTTGAGCTTGGAGACAAATGTATATCTTATCGTCGTAGCAGTGTTTGGACCGAACTCGAGACATTGATTGCCGACGTCTCATCTTCATCAATGGCAGCATTGCAGCTGGTCAGCGAGAAGAACAAAAATGAAATGATACATGTGCGATGATGACATGATGACGTTGCACTGTGACTGGGACACACGAAAACTAAAACGGTGGAGCTGCATGAGGCTCAGAGCTAATAATTGGAGTGGCGCAGAGGTTCTCGCCCCCAAAGCCATACCGGTACCAGGTACCGTACGGTACAGATTGTCAACACTACCGGTATATATTATAAGTGTCCTGATTAGTACAAGCATCACAGTCAACTGATGGCTATCCTAAAGGCACCAAAACAAATCCCGCAATGAATCAATGCTGGTTGACTGACGCCAATACGGCACATTTGTACCGGTACCATTCAGGCAACAAATGTGCATGTCAATTTGAAGCTCACCCAGGGCCGATTGCAGGATCGAGCACATTCCAGTCTGAAGAACATGTCATTGCGTCTACTAGACTCTAGAGCAACACCACTGGTCCTTAGCTCGAAGGGGTTACCCTTGTCAACCCTTCTAAAGATCCAGGCTCCTCACACCAGGATCGAGCTCATCTTCGAATCTTGACTGCGGTTGTGTGCTAAGCATGATGGTACCAGGTTGGTTGTTTCCTCCTACGACGGTTCGGCAAGATGCTCGCCAGGACAGTGGCCGACCTTGCATAATGAGCTTTTCAGTGTTGTCCATGGGGGACAGCAGATCAGCTCCCTTGTTTACGGCTACCAAACAAGTGCCACAGAGTCCTTCCCCCGCGCAGTCTCCACTGGCAAAGGGCATGTCAAATCGTTTTGTTTTGCGATCATACAGTTTGATTCCTTTCCTCATCAAGAGTCGTCTTAGATTCTCTCCCGCCAGTGCGTCTATTTCTACCGCCTCGGATTTTCCTTCCCGGTCCACTTGTACTGTGATGCGTGCTCTCTCCACGAGTCGATTGAGTTCCAGGAATATGCGCTGGTCGCTGTTCATGGCAATTTCTTTGGCCTTGCCAATCTCTTGAACTGTCACATCATAATTGGCACCTGTGACTCGTTCTCGAAACTGGCCGCCCGCCCGAATCCCCGAAATGGCGTCCCCCACTTGAATGGGTGGATTTGCCTTGGCAGCATTCCCCGTAACTTGACTAATCAATACCAATCCTCTTCCGTCTGGAGCGCTTGCCATTTCCGTCAAGACCAACCCCAGACCAGCAGCTTGTTCTGTCAAATCGATACTGGTCTGAACGACTTCTAGTCCGTATCGCAAATCTTTGCAGTCGTATCCGTAAATTCCTTCTTCCAGGTCAAAAATTTCAAGTTTGAGCTTGGACGCAATCTCCAACAGAAAGTTGAATGCTTGCTCCTCTTCAGTTGGATCATCATTGTCGTTGCTTCCAGCCAAATACAACTGACTTGAGCAACGCACTGCAGGCCACGGACCATTAGTTGCCGTGGGAAAGGTTCGCAAAGGACGAAAACAAGAGTCAAAAGAGAACGTTTCAGCATTTTGCGCCAGAAGAAGCAACATGGCGAGTGATAGCTTGCCACTCATGGTAGAACAGATTCTTTGTTTCAAATGATGTGGTATTAATATTGAGTGTAGTATACAATGACGGGGTCTTTGGATTATCAGTTCCGGTACTCATGTCATCTACCGGTATCAAGACAACATCAAGACAACAACCTTCAGTTTTGTGGCTTCGAACGGGTACACGTACCGGTACGTGTCTTGAGGAGATTGGGGAATATTTGAACTTTTGAAATTGGTTTGATTTGAGTCATTTTTGTGGTTGGGAGTTGGGGAAAAGGGCCCAAGACTGAGCCTTTAAGTCTTTTAGTCCAGGTGACCTTTCCTGTGTGTTCCAAGGTCCTCGATCTTTGGTCTTGGTCGAAGGACGAAAACACGAAAACACAATCATCAACACTCTCATCGCAGCTGGCATTCGCATCGAATCGAATCGATCAATCTATTGTACATGTTAGACAGGGCTGCACACCTCCACTCCCTTTGAGCAAAACCATTTCTTGTCTTGAGTTGAAGGGTGTGCGCTTTGGTGGTTTGATTTCTTTGGCCATTTTGTGGTTTTCTCCCAAAGAACAAAATGTCTCAGTATTACCAAGAGACGCAACGCAAGGAAGATGTGGGAACCTTGCAAGCCATGTTTGGTCCACCTTGGACGGCTGAATTGCTAGGTGTTGTGTTGGATTTTTACAATGGAAATGTGGATGAAACTGCCAACAAGTTGCTGACATTGAGCGAACATCACAATGGAAATCCAACTCCCTTGGTCGAAAGTCTCTTGTTGTCGGGTGAAACGACCCGGCAATCAGCTCCCACAACAGCCCAAATACTGCAAGAACGAGCATCATCAACTAGTAGAGGCACCGTGGCTCAAATCCCTAAATCCAAAATGAAAAAACCTCCTCCACCCCGCAAAACCAGGATCAAAGTGAGCTATGCGGATGACAGTGACAAGACAGCCACAATTACCATCCGGAAACAAACGCGAAAACGCATTGGAACCATCCAAAAGCTGCCCCAAGACTTTCTAAGAATTCCCCAAAAGAAGCAGGAACCTCTATTCAACCCCAAAACATTAGACAAACTCGGTGACATGCCGTCAGACCTTTTGCCGAATCGCAATCAGCAAGCAAAATGGAACAATTACAGACGAGCCAGCGCTCCACTGGCCGAGACGAGCAATCAACCTTCGAAATTTCAAGCTCTAAGGAACAGTATCAATTTCCCATCCTTTCCTTCTACTGCTTCCAAATCATCTTCACCAGCCGACAACGGCCACAAAGACGCGACAAAGAGAAGTTTTTTCAGTCAGCAAGGACAAGAAAACCGGGCACGGGCTCGGTCGCCATCAGACGGCAACAATAGCCTACTAAGCAAGTTTTCCGTGCCAAAAATGACAGCACCCACAATCACAATGCCCAAAATCCAACTTCCATCCATAAAGAATACGTCTCCAACATCATCCACAACACAGACATCCTCGTCTTCAACGCCTCCTTCGCAGCTCAAGACGGCACCACCAGGCCCCCCAGGACCACCCATGGCCTTGTTTTCCTTGACAGATCGAATGGAATCGCAACAGTCCCCTGCCCCTCCACCCATGGGTATGTTTTCTCGCCCTAATGAAGATGGGCACTGGTTCGCAGACAACCAGCAACAACCGGCACAAGGTTTGGTGACAACTTCGGAAAATGATTTGCTCAGTGGTGGTGGGAGCTACGGCTTGGCTCCTCCTGAATCAGCGCCAACCGACGAAAAGCCTGGCAAGTGGGGGCTGTCAATCCCCGCAGTTCCTTCTCTGACCAAGAAAGCCTCCAGTGACGGCAATCCTTCCACCACCAACAACAGCAGCAACAACAACAATAAATCAATGTGGAACTTTTCGCCGCCTTCCTTTGCCTTTTCCAAGAATGAATCGGAATCGCCGCCACAAGAATCGGCCCCTCCTTTGGACAACAAGTCGACAAGACGATGGACTCTGGCATCCATGGGCTCTGCATTGAAAGTGTCCACATCTTCTGCAAACAGTCCACCGACATTGAACGACATCATCGATATCAATGACTACTCCGATTCGTTCGGGAGCATTCCCCAGGTCGAGTTTCGAGGAGTGACATTGAAGCAGCTACAACAACTCGTGGAAAACATGCGCCGCCATTGCGTCATGGAGCAATGGAAAAGTGTGGAAACGGGAAGAGGGCTGCAACCCAAACATGTTTCCATGTATGATTTGGTAAGGCATTACGTGATTCCTCACACCCAGGCCAACTCGTGCAGTTTTGTGGAACAGGCTTTCGGAAAGCATCATTATGAACATGGACTACCTCGTCCGCCACAATGGTATATCAGCCACACCTGGAACGACACGGTCGTGGATCTAGTCCGTTGCATTGAGCAGCATGCCATAGATCGAGGTCTGGAGACTGATGAGACGGCCAAGTACTGGATCTCTGCCTTGAGCATCAATCAACACCAGCTTGGAGCGAACGTTGTTGCTGACCTCGATACACTCAGTGACGACTCCATGCTCCAGGATCCACGCATGACACAACGCATCCTGCAAGTGACTGAAGGGATTCTGTGTGTCATTGACAAGGAGAATCGCTACTTCTCGCGCATTTGGTGTCTCTGGGAAATTTTCTTGGCGCTTGAACGTGCCAAGGTTTGCCTTGACAGCGGTGATGATCGATATCTGGTGGATGTCTATACCCTCACCGACGAGGAGGGACCACCCGTAGGGGTGACAGATGGCGCGGCACAAGTCGACAAATACAGACTCAAGGAATCGGGCAGCAAGGACGATATCGACACCCCATCTTGCCGACAAGTATGCAGCGAAATAGAATGGTCCGAGCTCCGCGTCCTTCGACAATCGCAGTTTCGCTACGAGACTTGCTTTGATGCCTTGAAAGTCAACCTCGAGTCGGCTCGGGCTTCTCTCGAAGTTGACTCTAGACGCATCATGAACTGCATTGCCCAATACAAGGGCATCAACCACGGCGCAGTCGACAGCACACACGACGCCGAGGCATTGACTCTCCATCCGTCCTATTCGCATGTGAATGCGCTTATTCAAGGAACGTTTGCCGGTATGTGCTATCGGCAGGCTTTGGAGGCTGCTTCGAAGGGGGATGAACAGGGGCTGAGCAACTTGAAAGTTGTGCAGGCCGCTCTTTCCTCATCTTCCATACACAACCTGGAGGTGTGTTTTGCTGGTTGCAGCGCATTTCAGATCCGGGAGGCTCTAAAGTTCGTGGAGATTCTACCCATTTCGTTGCAACGCCTCGACCTCGACTACAGCTTCCTCGATTTTCAGTATGCCGAGGAATTTGCTATGGGTTTGGGTCGGCTTGCTCCAAACCTTGAAGTATTCAAACTCAATTGTGCGTTCTGCTCCAAGTTGTCGAACTTGGATAAACTGTTTCAAGAGCTGGGAAAACTTATCAATCTGCTGCAATTGACTTTGGTCATTCAGCCAAACAAGAGTATCACGTCGGTGGACGGCTTGACAGCGGCTCTTTTGGAAATGCCAAGGCTAGAGAAATTGGAGCTCGAGTTTGATTGTTGCGGTGGATACTCGAGAATGGTCACGGCTGCCAAGGGCGGAGCAGCTGTCAACAACATTTCTTCCATCTTCCGTGGCACATCGGATTCTTCTCGACTCACCCAACAGTTCGACCAAGTGTCCAAGTTGGCGCATCTGGACATCAACGGTGCCTACATTGATGATTCGAGTATTACTAAACTGTGCCGATCCATCAAGTCAAGGAATTTTGATTCAAAGATACAGAAGTTGAGGCTTAGATTCCTGGGAGACACGGGGAAGAAATTGCGAGATGTGGAAACCGTCGAGGATTTGGCTGAAACCCTTCAGCGCATTCGGAATGGCTTGAAACTTTTCTCTTAGATCAAGTATTGTCAAGGTCGCCTGCTTTGAGTACTTTTAGTCGCCACTCCTTCGAAGGTAGTAGTACAGCATAGAACTGCATGTAGTAACTGGGGAGCTTGGTACCGTAGTCACTCCATAAGGAGCTGTTGGTGGCGGGAATGCCAGGTCCTCTGTTGTTGAAACGCCCTCGACTGCGTATCATAGTAAGTTGTCTCTCGAGCCCTGCTTGAAAAGTTCAGAGGCCTCAGCTCTTGAACAGCATGATTCCTTACTACCGGTACCACTAGTACGACTGTAATAAAAGTCACACACAAACAAGTTCCAGCAGAGGACAACTCATAAGGGGACAATCGAGAGACAAGTCCGTCAAATCATTGCGTATCTATCAACTCTTGGAGGCTCCGGTCCATGTGTCTAGCCAGCTAGGCACCGAGTCCGATCGACCGTCTAGCAAGAGTTTCAGTACAGATGAAATCCAACTGATTGTGGCAATGTATTTTCTTTAGCAGTCCAGCTTTATGCTACTTTACTCGCTTGCCTCCGCTTCTTTTCCAAAGTGATGTTGCATCATTGTCGTTTGTGTGGCACAAGGAAGCGTCGTTTGGTGAGTTCCTTCAATGCTGTTATTAATTGTCAAACGTGTGCAGCTTGCATTTGGCAAGAGGACTGCCGTGAAGGTTCTTTCTTCACTCACCTCCTTCAGCTGCCGCCTCTGCTGTTTCTTCAGCAGCTGGTTCCTCTTCTGCCTCCTCTTCTAGTTTGATCTTGGCCACTACTTCGGCCAGTCGAACGACATTCCCCTTCAATTCCAAACCATTTTTGAGTGTTCGAAGCACGGTGCTTTCTGTCACATCGGGGCTCAATTCCTCTTCCACCACCAAGTATCGTGTTCGGTCCACGGGTTCACCTTCAGTAGCAGTGTATTCGGACACTCCAAGTTGCGTCATTGCCGTGTTAAAATTGCCTGCCAATGCTCCATATTGCTTTCCAAATTCATCCTGGCTGTGCTTATCCTGCAGCTTGTCAAGAATATCCTTGACTGGCAAAAAGTTTCGCAGCACAGTGGCGACACTGGTTTCTTGGTTGGAAGATGCCATGGACTGTAGTAAAAGAATTGGCAAAAACAATTCCAAACGAATGGCAGAAACAATCCAAAACGTAGGACAGAATAAAAGGGGGGGACAGCATGAGAAACCAGAAAAAACAGGATGTCTCTCCCTCGGTCTTGCATGCCTCTGGCTCCAGATCACTTCATCACTTCACTTCTGATCTGTTACCCCAGAGACTACCACCCCGAGTACACCGATGCACAAAAACTTCTTCCATCACATGCCAAAGACACTTACACTTCTCATTCGTCGCATGTTTTCCATTTCTGCCACTTTTCGAGCATATCCTGCCTTGCTGTAGGTGTCCGTTTGATCGCTGAGGTATTGGATTTGGGATTTCTTCTCCTTCAGCGTCTTTTCCAAGTCAGCAATTTCATCTTTGAGTGCCTTCACTTCAGGATCCTCTTGTTCAGCTTCTTCCTCTTCGGCAGCAGCTTCGCCATCAGCGTCGCCATCCTGTTCCGTCTCTTCTCCTTCTTCGGCAAATAATGGGGCAACCAGAGGTCTTGGAATGGACGTTGTGGCGCCGCGACTCAAGGCGGATGGAGAAACGGTAAAAGCAGTGCACTGGACTACCAACAAGGCCAGACAGGCAATGACAAGTGGTAGATTGTTGAATGTCATGGTTTATTCCTTCAGATTTTTTACCAAACAAACCAAAAACTCAAAAAAACTGGACTGTCAACCGAGAAGATAAATGGCCAGAATACGCAATCCTTGTATCACCAAGAGTAACTGTTTTGGAAAAGATAAGACGGACAGGAAAGCGATGGTTTGGAAGGTGATGGAAACTTTTGATGGCTTGAAAGAGGCGAAAAGGGGCGAATGGCAGTGATCTGATTGGCTAATCAAGCTAATATGTCAGCAAGTACGTCAGCAAATATTCAAAAATACTTAACGTACCGATTATAGATATTACGGAGAAAATGTGCTACCAAGTGCGACCTTTCAGTTTCGTTTCCGTGGAAAAGAAGGATTCCTCATGAGCCTGTCGATCGATCGATCGACCGATGATGACTGTCAACGGAAGGTCATTTCTTCGAGTTCGCTGCAAAGCAAGCAAAAGAGCACCATGGAGACACCAACACCAACCAGCAGCAGCAGCAGCAACAACAACACAAAATGGAGAGATGGGCTGCCAGAGTCAGAATAGGAATCCACAGCAGAAGAGAGCATTCCAACTTGCCCAAAACAACAACCCAAGATCATCCAAGAGAGCGAGAGAAGCAGGAGCCCAAACAGCACTGAAGGAGGGATAGCAGAAGTCTTTGATCCACTCAGACACTGTCAGGTCTGTAGGCCAGACATTTTGGTCTCAGAGTCCCCAAGAGATCACACTCTGTCTTCTGTATTAAGAATACAATAACAAAAGGACAAGACCTTTGAATGCGCTGACAATGGAGACAATCAAAGAAAGCAGGAGACTCACAAGGCAATTCAGTGCTCCCCTTCCACTGAATGAGAGAGGAAGCTGGAGCATTCCACAAGAGAAAATGGAGAAGCTTTCTTTGCTCCCAGAACAAATACAGCCAAAGCCACAGCCAAAGGAATTCAACAAAAGTATAAGGCAATGGCTACTCCAGCTGTGTTCTGCGAGAAAGTCACAGCTCTTGTAGAGGATGCCACCTTTGTGGAGAAACACAAGACCAAAATAGCACCACTGGCAATGATAGCAATGGCAGAAGCAGTGTCAGAATCCATTACCAGGTCAAAGAACCAGGACCTATTCCAGCAACACTTTGATGACTCACCATGACAGTCCCATCCACAAAGGAGCAATTCTAGTCTCCTCACTACCACTCTATTGTTGGGCAGAAACTCATCCTAGTGGACTGGAATCGATGTGGCATTACTGTACCTTGTCCCGATTGAAGATGCTCTGGCCAACTCCAGAATCGAGAAACTGTCCGAAAGACCTTTCCCCATCTTTGGCATGCCGGCTCCATCTTGGTGATGGTCATGTCCATGGTCTGCAGCTGCTGCAAGAGAAGATTTGATGCCAACCAATCTGAAGTACTGGTGTCAATCCAGAGCATGTTTCCTTGCTATATCCAGTAGAGCCAAAGTATGCTTTTCCCAAAACAGACTATCATTTGGAGAGGACTGCAACAGAAGTGTTCGACACTATAATGGTTACCTATGGAAATGGTGACCTCTGCAGCAGACTCATCTACAATGCTATCAACAGAGAGTATATTAGAGCAATGATGTCCTACTATTCTTACTGGCAAGGTAATGAGAGGGAGCCTCCTCCCTTCCTTCCAAAGGATGGAACTTACATCAAGCAATACCCTCTCTTGGTGACACATCCGTGACTCTTGATGGCTGCTGTGCATCAAACAGGAACCATGGAGGATAGTGACAATATGAGGCACACAGAGAGATTCAAGTGTCAGCTGCAATGATGGTATCTTCTGTCAAGACCACACTTTCCAGCCAGTCAAGAACTACATGAAGAAAGAGACTGGAGGAGCTGTTGCTGTCTGGGATGCTGCCACTGAGACTGGAGAGATAGCTTCTGCAGTGCTTGTTCCCACAACCAAGACCATCCACTTCTCCCATGCAGCAATGCAGCTAGCAAGGAGACCAAACTTCAATCCAGCTGTCATGTATAGTGACACCTGGCCCAACAAGGATGACTATTGGGATGGCTCTTTCCAGGTATTGAGGGAAGACTGGCCTGTTTCATTATGAGAAGAGGATACTGTCAACTTTGAGGAAGGGCACATTGATCACTTCCAAGCAATGACAGACCTTTTGACTGCCTGTATGAGTACTTGCCTGAGACTATGAGAAGCTTCTCCATGCTCTCAAACATGGTCTCCTATCAGCTGATGCCAAGCACTACTCCATGACAGAGATCTCAGACCTGCAATCAACCAAGGTCTTCCGTGACAGTACTCCAAGTACTAAGAAAGAGGATGAGAGACAGAACCAGAACAATGAGCAGAGGTTGCACAGTGGTTCTGCAGATACAAGGTCACTGCCAGTGAGGGCAGCCAACCAGGCCAAGGAAGACTGGATCCTGTCAAGAACTTTACCTTATTCACTCCAGACACAAGCCAGCAGTAGACAACTGCATTGACAAAGCCATTACCTGCCAGGATGCACTACCTGGAGCAAATGTATGACACAATCCAACCATCTCCCAACTCAAAGCACAACCTCCAGAGTACCTTCAAGGAGAGGAGAGTCAAAGTAGAGGCATTCCATGACAAGTTTGCCCATTTCGGAATGGTGGTAATGAGAGGCCTTGCTGATGCTCTCAACCCTTGCTGGCACAGCTAGATACAACCTCAAGATTCGCACAAGAGAGCCTTCCTGTCAAGAATCAGTGAGGCAGAAAGGAGGTAATTCCAGCTGGATGGGAGAAGGTTGTTCCATACTGGAACCACTCTGAGCTTGCTTACCTGAATGACATGGCAGAGGCTTTTGGTCTGGATGCACCATTTCCAAATGCAAAACCATGCCAGAGGACACTGGAGAGAGGTTCTTCTCAGAGTTCATTGTTGGATTCAACCACACAGGCAGAAGTACTCACAAATGATCTTTGCTTGTGTAGCTTGTGCACCAGTCCAGTTGCAGATCCACAACCACAACCAACAACAACAGCCACAACGCTCACACAACAGCACAACAACAGCCACAACCGGTTCCAAGCTCCAACCTCCACCACCCAATCACACCACCAAAACAAGCTGCTCCTGTAGCACAAACAAGAAATGCTTACATTGGTAACCTGATTCTATACCAGCAACAACATCAGATTCAAATGATGCAACTTGCCTTAATGCAGCAGCAATTCCAACCAATACTGCCAGCTCCTTTCCAGCACCTCCCCCAGCCAATGGCTGCTGTCAAAGATACTGCCAATGGTTGACTCGCAGGAGAGGAAGACCACCGCATGATGCAACCTGTCAAGCTAGATTGAGTGGGTATGGTTAGATAGCATTGTGGCATCATTGTAATCTAGACATTTACTTACATTTAGATAATCAGTGGTTGGTTGTTTGGATCCTCCACAAATGCAGCATAAGCAGGGCGCATGCCTCCATGATAGTGCATGTCATCCATGCAACAAGTAACAAACTCATCACACATCATAGACCAATCCTTAAAGGATAGCTTCTTGTTGTATCTCCAGATAGAATACCCATCAAAAGCATCCATCAAAACCTGTCCTTGAAGGGAACCCATATCATGGCTCTCTGTGATCCTATCCTTCACTAACCAATAGATACACTCCATGAAGATGGCCTCCCTCTCACAAGGATGTGGACCCTCCAACATTTCCCAAAGCATCGAGACAACAGCTCTGTACCATGGTGGACTAATCTTTCTGCCAAAATCAACCATGTGATCCATGATGCCTGTCATGTCAGGAGGGAGAGGCCTGCATGCTCCTTGGGAGATAAGATCCTCCAGGAGAGGCACTTCAAAGGTATCAGCACAAACACAGCTCAGGTCCTGGTTGTGATCTTTCAGAATAACATACTTGCAGGTGAAACCATGCCTGGTTGGCCTCAGCTGATTGATGGGTATCTGTTCTTGACACTCAACAGCCACTTGGAGAAGCCAGGACTTGTAGCGATCCTCATGACCAGTGGATGAATCCAATCGATCGGTTGGTGTGGTCGAGGACGAAGGTTGGGTCGGTGACGTATCGATCGATCGGAGCAGATTGGTCGTCTTCGGAGGAAGGAGAAGACATTCAATCGGTGGAGGGAGGAGAACCATAGAACGTTGAAGGGCGGCCAAAAGGATAATGATTAGTCCATTGTCACCATTGTCGATAAACAACAACAACAAGAACAACAACAAAAAACAACAACAAGAACAACATCAAGAACAACAACAAGAACAACAACACTCACCTTTCGTAATCTTCGGCGATTTGAAAAATGGGAAGGTTGTGTGCGAGCCAAGGATTTCGAAAAAGAGAAAGAGAGCGAGTCAGACACCAACGGATACATCAGTCCATAACGTATTTGCTGACATATACCTTGTTCTTCGGACGTCTTACCCCATCTGAGAATTAAAGGAGGAGGGGGAGATGACCAAGTCATTGTAGTTTCCCCTCTATTAGTGCCACCGGGACTGTGCATTGCAGGCTCGCGATTCGGAATTCGGAATCCAACGGATAACCCTCTCCCTTTCCTTCTTCTTTTCCCTCCCCCGCGCTGGTGCCGAACCCCCCCATAAAGTCCCTTCATGGCTTGCTTCGGCTTTCCTCCATCTGCGTCACTGACGTGGTGCACCAGCTTCCACGTGGCTCTACCGGTACCGGTACATGTACTAGTAGCAATCAAGCAGCAGAGCTGCCAGCCTTCTCTTCTGGTCTCCTTGTCCCCACCATCCAGGATGCCGGTTCGGGTACCGGTACGGCTCATCATGTGGTGGCTTCAATAAAAATGACAAAGGTTTAGCGTGACAAAGATATAAAGGTTTTAGTATGAGGGGTTATTGTTACTAGCGTCGGTCCTTCTGAGGTCCCAGGGGTTAAAAATCACTTCATTTTGCAGATTGAATTGATTTTGCGCTCATGGGTGGTGCTAGAATAATTCTCTCGCTTTGAGGAGTTGAGGGAGCATTGGAAGGTGGAACCAGGTAAGTCTTAGGCTGAGGTTGAGGGAGACTGACATTCTCTCGATCGCGATCCTTCTTCCTCGAGGAAGGAAATCTTAGCAGCCCCCTCAACCGACTTGGCGTATCGGGAGCCGATTGCTGTTTCTGAGCGTTTGGTCTGGGTCGAAGCGGCGTTCGCTTCCGTTGAGGAGTACCCTGCCTCGACCCAGATCTTGAACTCGCCTGTGACTGGGCCTCTTGCGACATTGAGCCAGTGGTACCATGTCGAAGAGGAGTACCAGAACGAGATCCTGGACGTGACGGAGGACGGGAACTTGATCGTTGGGGCGATTGAGGCGGGGTCATCTTGGAAACTGGCGGCATACCTTCCATTTGCGCAGCTGATGATGCAAGCTTAGCTGCCTTCATTGCCACATGATTCTCCCTCTCGAGCTTCTCTAGCTGCCGTGTCAATGCACCCACCTTGGCCTCGAGATTTGCTGTTCTGTACTTTTCGTTTCTCGCGGACTGAATTTCCGCTTCAGCCTTTTCGAGGCGGCTCTTCAGCTTGAAATTTTCTTCCTGAATTGAGTTGTTACGCCAGCGTAGCTTCTCCAGTCTCTCCTTGACCTCGTGAATGGGGAAGTCGTCAATGGGGTTGCGCGGCTTCACCTCCGGACTAGAACGACACTCCTGCGAGAGCCGATCAACCGATTCCCTGAGCTTTGCGACTTCAGCCATGTGTACCAATTTGCTCTCTTCGAGTTGCATTTTGAGTGCCGTGATCTCTCGCTCGAAAGCTGCGTTCCTGGTTGTCAGATCCAAGACTTCCCTCTCCATATCTTCAATCTCTTCTCGCCTACTAGAGGCAGTGTTGACCATACTGCCTTGTAGGTGGTCCATTTCGTTTTTCATGTTGCCCACCAGCTGCTCCTGAGCGTCGAGGGTGTGCTCCAATGCAAAGATCTGGTTGTTCTTCTGCTCCAAGGCTTTTTGCATTTCTTGTCGCAAAGTCTGATTCTCCAGATCAAACTTCTTCATATCCCTGGTCATGGCTTCAAAGTCCTCAGCTGCCTGTCCTTTGATTGACATCAAAGACTTCTGAAGTGAATCTATAGTTGCATCCTTGTCCGATGTCAAGAGAGACAATTTCCGCTCGTACGCTTCGACAATCTTGCCAGACTGCATCTGGAGATTTTCGGCAGCATTCATCTTCTCCTTGAATGCTGACAGCCTATCGTTCTCGGCCTCAAGGTCCTTCAATTGCTGCTGGAGATCCTCGATCTCCTCGAACAGGGCAGAGTTCTGGTTTTCACTCTGGGCATCACCTGCAATGGAGCGCGAATAATCCATGGTCATGGTGTGATTCTGAGATTCGAGTCTGGATATCTTCTTTTCGGCCGCCTCCAGCGCTTGGTTCTTCAGCCGAAGCTCAGCGTGGACGTTGTCAATTTCAGTCTCGAGGGCTTCAATCTGACTTGTGCAGCCGTCGATATTGCGTCTCAGTTCCTCGATAACCTTGTCGCGTTGGGCTACAAGTGCATCCCTCTCTCTGGCCAACAAATCAATTGCTTTACTGTTGGCATCTCTGGTAGCAAGCGCTTCCTCGAGCCTTTGTTCTGCTTCTTCGCGGGCAGCCAGCGCTGCTTGAAGATCTCCTCGCTGCCCAGCCATGGCATGCGAGTTCCTCTCCAATTCTTCAAGATCGTATTTGGTTCGAGCAAGTTCATTCCTGATGTTGTCAAAGTCTCTAAGCTTGAAACGAAGCTCTCTTAGTTCTGTTCGATAGGTTTCGTTTGCTTCTTCCAACTCATCAATTTGTGCACTCAAACTGACCACCTCAGGTGACTCGCCATTTGGAGTGAGCATGCCGGGACGATAGCTTGGGCCTCTGGAAGCGGTCAGCTGTCTGTTCAAAGCCGAGATAGACTCATCTCGATTGTGGATTTCCGCGCGTAGGGCTTCCAACTCTTCGTCTTGCTCGATGATTTGCCCAGCAAAGATCTCGCTCTCCTGGTGAAGGCGTCGAAGTTCTGCTTTCAATTGGACCGAAGAGCGCTTCTTATCTTCTCTCATTGCCTCCAACTCTTGGGCCGACCTTTGCAATCGCTTCTGCAGCTCTTGTACTGTGGACTCATGGGTCATTGACTGCTGAACAAGCGCTGACACGGCGTCGTCCCGTTCTTGGATTTGGCGTCGATAGTGGTGTGACCCGACACTGACTTCATCATCCATGATCTCTTGAAGACGAGATATCTCAGATTCAGCGAATTTCAACTGCTTCTTGGACAGAGAAAGCTCATGAATCAACCTCGTTTCAACCTCCTTGTAGTCAGCTAGAGCTTCACGCAGTTCAGAGACGTCATCTTGAGCTTGTTCAATCGCGCTGGCGGATGATTGTGAAGCCGCCGACGCAACGTCTCGGTTCTGTCGCACCGTCTGAAGTTCTAAAGACAGGTCTGATATCTTTTGTTCCAGAACCACTGATGATTTCACCAACGCAGATATCGTAGTATCCCTATCCTCCAGCTTCTCCTTGAGTGTTCGACTCTCTCGCTCTCTTTCCCTCCGCAACGCTTCCAACTGCTTGCGTAGATCCGATTCCAACGCGCCTCCGCTCTGCAGATTGGCGGCCGAGGATGGTTGGCGTTGTTGTTGCACAACTTGTTCTTCCAACAGCTGTTTCTGAAGCTTCTCCACTTCCTGTTTCAGGACCGCAACTTGATCAGAGTCCGATGTGGGTTCGCCAGCGGACGACGATGAAGAATTGTTGACCAGCAGATCGGAGATTTCAGCTTCCTTCGTTTGCAACTGAAACATGAACTCTTCTGCCGCCCTCGTCTTCTCAGTTTGTAGATTTGACAATGCTTCCTCGTGTTGGCGGACCATTGTGTTCTTGTCTTGTTCCAACTGTTGTACCTTCTGCATGGCGCTATCTTTCGCAGAGCAGATTTGATCAATGTTCGTCTTGAGCTGAGCGATTTCACTCTCGCGAGACTCCAACTCGGCTGCTCCCGTCTTCTTGTCTTCCTCCAGCTTCTGAACAGCAATCATGTGCTCTTCGGTCATACTTGCCTTCTCATTCTTCAGCTTTTCGAGTTCTTCTTCGACGTTTTCCTTGTCCAGCTCCAAACGACCGATTCGTTCCATGTAGGCTTCCGCCATAGTCGCCTTTTCGTTTTCAAACTCGTTTAGTCTGGTCTGTGCTTCTCGCAACTGTTCATCCAGCTTTGAAACGCGCTGAGAATCCTTGGCCTTGAGCTGTCCTCGCAACTTCTGGATTTCGGCCCGGTACTCTTCCATAGCTCCATCGCGCGTCGACGCCAGCTTGGCTTCAGATTCCTTCAAACGGGCCACCAATTCTTCCAGTTCTTGCGTTTCAGTCTGGCGTGAATTTCGCAACTCTTCCAACTCAGCCTGCACGTATTCTAGCTCTTTGGCACGTGCTACAGCCTTCCTCTCATTTTCTTGAAGTTTCTCGACATTGCGCAGCATAGTTGACAAGTCTGCAGCGGTGCCATCCTCGTGCAGGACACCCAATTCATCACTTGGGCCCATGTTACTATCGAAGTCACCACGAGAAGTCAGGCCATCATCAACAACAAGAACAGCAGATAGTTGAGCCAACTGCTCTTCAGCGTATTCCTTTCCTTCTGTGACTTCATGGAGGACTGTCTCCAAGTGCTCCACTCGGTCATGATGCTCCTTGCGCGTTCTGTCACACTCCGTTTCCAATCTCTCAATGGCATCTTCCGAAGATCGCAGACGCTCCTTCAGGTTGGCCACCAACTGGGGATCTACAGATTCCGCAGGCGGTGTACTTGTCTTGGCTTCCACGGGAGCTTCAGTTTGTGCTTCCTCGGCATCCCTTCGAGCCTTTTCAGCCGCTGTGAGAGCAATCTTCTGCTCTTCCAGCTCTTCATCGCGCAATTCCAGCTCGCGGTTGATGTCATCAAGTGCCTTGCGTAGGCGGCCAATCTCCTCCTCTTGAGCATCGTGAAGAACTCGCAAGTCTTCTGCTTCATCCGCACGGTACTGTTCTTGGTTATTCGCATCTTTCTTCACCTTGTCTAGCTTCGATGCCAAATCGTTGACCTTTTCTGTAGCCTGTCGCAGCTGTTCTTGCAAGACTCCAATATTGCGATTGGAGTCCATGAGCTGAGACCTGAGGTTATCCTGTTCGGCACTGTTGCTATAGCGGGTCAAGTCAACGCTGGAGTTCACTTCCTCGCTGCTTCCCCTCTGCTGTTGCTGTTGTTCCAGTTGCTGGATCGTCTGCTTCATATTTTCTGTTAGCTGATGGTGAGCCTCTTCGGTGGCCTCCAAATGCTGTTGAAGGTCTTCGACTTCCAGTTGGTGTTCATGCATCATGCGAGCCCGTTCCTGCTTAAGGATATCTAGTGCTGCTTCCGTCACGGACAATCGATGCTTGGTCTTTTTCAAAATCTCACGTGTTTGAGGCAGACTTTGCTTCATAAAACTCCGATTAGTGTAGGAGGATCGCTGCGAGTTGCCCAACTGCGACTGCACGCTTTCGTCGTCACCCGCTGATATACCAGACAGGTTGTTTGCATGCGATGCCGCCTTCATATCTTCTAGTTTGTGGTTGAGGCGATCCACTTCTTGCTGCAGGACTTGGCTGTCCTGGACTTGCGCCCGTAGATCCTCCATTTCCTGTTCCATGAAAATTTTGTCTGACTTCCACTTGTCCGAGTCATCTCGCTTTCCATACGCCGATTCTTCTTGTTCCAGTTCCATCTGATGGAGTTGGTTCTTGAGATCCGAAATGGTGTGCCTCTGGAATGCACTTTCTTCGCGGAGTTTGGTCAGCTGCTCTTCTCTCTCGACCAAGGTTTGTTCCGCATTCTTACAGCGACTTTCAATGGAATTGAGCAGCTTTTCACTCTTTCGGATGGTTTCTTCTAGTCTTTTGTGGCGTTCATCTCCTTGACGAGTTTGATGATTCAGTTGATTCATAAAGTCAGCTTCCATCGTGGCTGTTTTGGCGGACAAGGCCGCATTAGACTGTTTCAATTCTCGAATGATTTGTGAGGCAGACTTTCCATGTGTCGAGTTGGTGTCGTTGTGAATGCTGCGGTCAATAGAATCTTGTGATGGCAACCGATTGATCATTGGGAAAAATCCAGAAGTGGATCTAGCAGGAGAACTAGGAGCTGACATGGAACCACGGGCATTGTTGTTGTTGCTGCTGCCAGGGCGCTTTTTCTTCTTGGTGACGCTACCGTTGACAGGAGTGCTAGGACGAGGAGCCAAGCTGGAGATCACCTCCATTCCAGATATCACCTCCATGGTTCCTTCAAACCACCCCTTGGTTCCACCAGAGTTGGCGTTCCCTCCATTGCTACTGCTGGTCGAGTTGTTGCTCATGGTGAGACAACCGCACACTACTACTAGTAAAGATGCTTTTTCGCGGTTGCGCCTCACTCAATCAAACCGCTTACTACCAAATCAATGGAGGCTACCAGTAGCCAGAAAGACAGACGAAAATAGTGATCTGCCCCCAAAGGCTGTCTTGTTCTGGGAGTGAGCGGATCTTTTCTGACGCTCCGAGTTGTTATTGTTGCTCTTGTTCTGTCACCCTTGGATTGGCAGAGCACACCGCATTGTCATTTCCTTTCGGATTCTGGATAACGGTCTTGATTTTTCATTCAACTTCTTTGGCACGAATTAGAGCACGTAAGCCAGGGGATGCCGATGAAGCGAAAAATTGCCAATCAGTCGGACGATGAATCCCGTCATTTTTCATGGGTCGCGTTGCACATTCCCGTGGAAAGATGCAAGGCTCGACTAATTTGTCCTGTGTCTTCAAAATAATATTCCTGAATCCCTGCTACCATCGAGTGGCAGCCACATTGCCGCAGGCCGAACAGATAGCGAGCCGTTGCTTCACTTCCAAAGCCAGGGAAAACAAAATATCCATAGTCCATAGAAATACCCTCGACGACAGCATCGGAGGTACGGCAGGTACATTGGTACTGTACCATACAGACCTGGTTCCGTCCACGTGAAAGACTGTCACTCTCGTCCTTTCACTGCTGGTGTCGCTCCTGGCTTGGGTACGGTAACACCAGAGTAAGATATCGAACTACTGGTATGCAAAATGGCACCGCGGGGTAAATGTAAGCAATCCACGACACCATGTAGCTAGCTAGTACCATACAGGCACTGTGCCCATCGCTTTTGGTGTGCGTGGAGGACGTTTTAGAAACGAAAGAAGCTCATGTCTTCGTTCTCTTATTATCTTTAAAACTCGAATATCAAGTACTCTACTTGAGCTAGCTACGGTACAATTGTTTCCATCGCTGCCGGTGCCTCCAATTGTTCCCCTCAGTCCTCATGTCCTCCGCAATCCATTCGTATTCACTTTGGTAGTTCTTTACAGCGTTGTTTCTCTCGAGACAAGTCAGGCAATATGCATCTGGCTACTAGCTAGCTAGTTTCGGTCATTACCACCAGAACCTGGTGAAAGGCAGAAGAAGGAACAGTCTTCAGGTCTGAACTTTGCAATCTGCCCAGCTGAGCAAGGAGCAGGTGGACTGGGTGGGATACAGCCTGGACCATCTTCATCATTATCAGTGTCATCAAGGTCGTTGTCATTGTCTTCGCTATCCCATCCCATTGCATTAGAGATGGTGCTTGTTGTGGTAGGGGTTCGTCCAATGGTAATGGTGGCTCCATTGCTCCCCTGCTGAGATGACCCTTGCCTAGATGATGTGGAATTGGTGGGAGTTCCAGTGGTGTCTCCTACCACCAACTTGCGGTCTCGGTCATCACCGCCAGAACCTGGTGAAAGGCAGAAGAAGGAACAGTCTTCAGGTCTGAACTTTGCAATCTGTCCAGCTGGGCATGGAGCAGGCGGGCTGGGTGGGATACAACCCGGACCATCTTCCTCATTGTCATTATCATCAGGGCTACTGCCGTTATCATTGTCATTGTCTCCGCTATCCCCTCCCATTGCATTGGAGAAGGTGCTTGGTGTGGTAGGGGTTCGTCCAATGGTAATGGTGGCTCCATTAAGCCCCTGCCTAGATGACCCTTGCCTAGATGATGTGGAATTGGTGGGAGGTCCATTGGTGTCTTCTACCACCAATTTGCGATCTTCATCATGGGGGTGGACTGCGACGAAGTTGAGGTCCCCTTCATCAAAGTTGAGGTCTTCATTGACAGGGTCGACAACTGTTGTGCCATTGTTCTGTAGCAAATGATCCATTGTACCCTGAAAGTACCATGGTTCTCGTTTGTCACCCCCTTCGGTCGACATGTCAATAGCATCGACTTCGTTCGATCCCCGAAGATTACCATCCGACGCAAGAACCCGGGCCGAATTCCACGCGCAAGCCACGGCGACGAGTTTGTTCACGAGCTTCATAGTGCTGTGAGAGATTTGTTGTTAGGTTCGTTTCTCTAGTTTATGGAATTGAATTGTGAGACATCATTGCCTCGACCTAGCTAGTGATCGTGCGAAACATTGCCAACCCGATTGCATTCGAAGAGTCATCTTTCAGCCTCCGCAGTTCGACGTAAGAGACGAGACAAAAAAAATCTTGTCACGGCACTGTTGAAGAGCTCGATCGACGTTTCCTTCCCGGTCCAAGGTCCAAGGTGACGAAGCCAAAACCCTGCAACCTCCACGAGGATAGGATTTCCAAGAGTGCTTCGAGTATCCCGAGTATCCCGAGTATCCTACCGCACCGATCCCCTGCCTGGATTGTCCGGAAAGGTGCGGTTGTCATCGGATCCAGTCTTCCTAAAAGCTCTGACGTAGGTCTCACGTTTTAAATTTGTTTTCGGATTGAAGGTCGCGGATAATCTTCCAGTCGAATAATTCGGTCTCCCAATACCACGGTAGTTATGGTAGCGGTATCCAGCAAACCAAGCCTCCAATGCAGAAATCCCTCGATCCCTCGCAACATGATTTGGGCGTCGCCACAAGGCTTGCCTCTTCCACACCAGTGCCCTGATACTCGCTTGTCAAGCGGGGCACGCCTGCACTCGAAGAAAGGGATCAATCCCTCGTATTTTGCAAATGTTGCTGCGGGAGTGACGCTGGGGTCAGTAGGCTCATTCCTGCAATATATGCAGCCTACCAGCTACCGTAGCTAGCCATTGAAGAAAGCTCGATTTGCTATGTAGCGCACCTGCCTGATCCCCAAGTCATTTGGGACTGAGAGAAGGAGGCGCAGTATAGATTTTCATATCTCATTTTAAACGTGACCAGCAGACTGCTTCCTTTTCTGATGGCGAGGTCACCGGTACCAGGTACGCAACTGGCTGGATTGATTGAAGGTCAAGCATGCCGAATGAGAGCCGCCTTGACGACTCTTCGCAAGAGGCAGACCTGGACTGGTAGGAATGTTGCAGTCTGGGCACAACTCCTCCGATTACGAGTACCAGGTACTAGCTAGTACGATAGACGATTAGCCATGAGTACAACGCATACAGGCAGCTTCGCAACCGGTGGAGTTGTGGAGTACCGTGCAGTTGTGCCGTGCGTTTTGGACGTTGACCGGAGACCGGAGTGCCAAGTGCCAAGTGCCAACGAGCCAACAAAGCTTTGACTTCTTTGGGGGGTCTGCGAGGTAAACTCTGACTTAAATACACCAACGACTGGAAGTCTCAAAGACATTTCATTGGGACATTGTATAAACCTTTTGTAGTTTCAAATCGGGGAAGTTGTCTATCTGCGACCAAATAAGTTGAAGTTTTACAGCTTTTAACGATTTGTCTTTAACACATCTTGTCCACCCCCCAAGAACAGAGAAAGTTCATTTCTTTCTTTGCTTTCGTACATGTACCAGGTGACCAGGTGCGAAGCTCGACCTGGTGCACGCACAAAACTGCACAGCGCAAAAACTGCTCACACATTCTTGGAACCGAAGACAACCATCCATAGACCAAGAACAAACTTGTCTGCATGGCTCCCATAAAATCTCCCAGCAAAACAACAACAGCTCCACCAACAACAATGAAAGCTTCAACGTTCCTCCCCGGATTTTCATTTGTGATTGTGGATGACAACTGCACCTCGCACAAGAAGGAGGCGAAGCCTGCCATTGCCAGCCTCGACAATTGCTCTTCGCACAAGAAGCCTGGCAGATCCGTTTCACCGCGACGCACGACCTCCTTGGATCGTTGGTCATCGCACAGCAACAGCTCCACACGCAGCCTGGACGCGTCAATGGCTCCTCCAGACAGACCCGAGCAACGTCGCTGGTCCACTGGTGGAGGCAGCAGCAGCGTTCCCCGAACACCTCCAAGGCGAACCAGTCTGACCAAGGTTCATGATTAAGACCACAATTTCCAGGGGATAAAGCGGCGGCCGAAACATTAAGCACCATGGTGCCCAACGGGTCTTCGAGCACGACGGACAAGGGGAAGCAACTGTACCGTACACACAGAGAATGTGAACAACCATGTAAAATACATGTATGCTCCTCTTGCCGATGCTGGTCTTCAGCGCTTCATGGATTATGTAAACATTAGGTTTGTGTACAGCAACTACACATGACATAACTGCTCCGAAACGATCCTTAGCCATGAGTAACATAAAGATCATATTAGCAATGAGCGACAGGAAGCCTTACTTGATGATGGACGCATGTGGCGGAGAACTAGAAGTCCGCAGCTGGCCAGGCCGATTGAGGAGAACAAAGCAGCGACATGCATCGGGTCTGTGGTGGGGGGCACCAGCCGGCCCTGGTAATTTCTTGGTGTTGGCTCAGGTGGGGCAAACACCAGGTCCAACTCCAGGCCCCACCCATGGCAAACTCCCCTTGCCGCTCCTTCACCAAGGCAAGCCGGACCAACGCCCGGTTCAACTCCGTATCCTACATCCATGCTCCCGGGCCCACCTGTGATGTTCCTGGAGTAGCTGCATGCTGGTCCTGGAGGAGGTGCCTGCAATGGGCAACGACCAGGACTCTTTTAACTCCTGGTCTAGGTTCACGAAACGATTACGAGCAAGAAGTCAGACGTGTTAAAAAATGCGGTGTTGCTGAAACTATATAACTTTTGCGCAATTCGGACTGAGAATTCAGCTTCATATCTGTATTTCACTGCACGGACTGGTTAAGCAAGCTACCACACCTTTCGGAGAAGAAGAGTGGCAAAGAGAAACCAAAGGTAGATACACCCATTCGTAGTTTGCATCGTGGTTGGTCCACTGCTGTCATCAGGACCACTGGTACTCGTCGACTCTGCCAAAACTTGGGGGAAAGTGTCACCTTCAAGCCAATTTTCAATGGCTTCAGCAATCTCATTAGGGCTGTCTTCCTGGATGAAGTGGATGCCGTCCACGGTGACCTCTTCCTGGTTCTTCCACGTACGAGCCAGCTCTAATTTCTCGCCATTCAAGAGGATGCCTGGTATGGCAGAGATGAGGAGCTTGGGCATCTCGTTTTCACCCATCCAGGCCGAATAGGTGGTCACGACGTCTGCCACCTCAGGAGGTGTACCATTGATGGGGATCTGACGAGGCCACGTGAGGGTGGGGCGGCGAGATTCGCCAGGTGTTAGATATGGCGCATTGTACACAGCCATCTCCTGCTCTGTTAAGTTTCGCAACACGCTGGCTGGAAGCATCTGCTCCACAAAGATGTTCTGCACCAAGATCATCTCCTCGCCCACATTGGGCAAACGAACATTCTCGAAGAAGGCTGCGACGTCTTTCGGCCAATCGCTATAGGACATGGGAGCAACGATGGCTTCCATGTACGCAATGCCTTTCACCAAGTGAGGATGCGGTAGGCAAACCAAAAACCGAGAGCAGATCCCCAGTCATGAATGACCAGCACAACCTTGTCTTGCTCTCCATCCAATCCAATGCAGTTCTTGAAGAACGAGTCGAGAAAGTCGGCGTGATTGAGGAAGCTGTATGCCTCATCGGAACTGTCCTCGAGTTTGTCAGAGTCGCCCATCCCAATCAAGTCAGGGGCGATCAGGCGGCGGCCGTTGCCCTTGAGGGGGTCCATCACGTTACGCCAGAGATAGCTAGAGGTGGGGTTGCCATGCAAAAACACGAGAGTTTCCCCGTTGCCGGATTCAAAATTATCGTCTTTCATCTCCACGTACGCCATTTGGTAACCCCTCACCGTGCAGAAGGACTTGGTTTCGCGAAAGGCAGCTGCAGCGTCGGACATGGTAGAAGCAAGGGTTCAAACTGAGGTTGCGAAAGAGGGATAAAGGGCTGCTCACTGTTTTGGTTTTGTGAGGACACACCGAAGCAACAAATACCACTGCCGAAGTACTAGCTAGCTAGTACCTGGTATGTACCGTCGTGATGAGACCAAAAAGTGGAAGACTCAGTACCTGTACCATTCTTGTAAACTGGTATTGCGAGGTTTGAAGGAGACAACCGAAGGTTTAAAGTACATGTACAGTAAACTTTGAAAGAAGCCAAACCCATCCCAAATACCGGTACGGTACATGTACCGGGTACCAGGTACCCAGAAACGAAAATCCTTCGAACCAAAGAAGCGACCGCCGGTACCGGTACCATATCCGACCAAATTACTACATGTTGCTAGTCTAGCTAGCTAGATCTAGTGGCTGCTAGTACATTTATCTTGATGTGATAAAGCCCCTTCTATATTGTTATAGGAAGAGGCGTATACTTGTAGAGCAAGACAAAATCGCTCTCTCACACAAACCAACTACATAATTTCTTTGGACGTTCGAGATGTGGGTACATGGCAGCGCACAATCATTCATCATCGGCTGCTCATGCTGTCCGGTACCGGTAGAATAGAAGCGTCAGCCTTCTGTCTGGTCCACATAATACCGTCCAACTTTGCATCCTCCCACAAAACCCGTCACCGCGACAGTAGCAACCATCACCATGTGTGGAGCGTATTCGTCCTTCGCCACATTAGTAGCGGATGTCTTCCCTCTTTGCACCGATCGATGAGCTGCGCTCATCATGTTGACCGCTCTGGTGATTCGTAGTGTCATGGTAACGTTTTGATGTCCTTTAAAGCTTGACAAAATGAAACAGATAGATCCCTTTCTTGCCTCTCTTTCTCCGCTCAATACTCGAGTCTTCTGTTGTGCCGCACAGCTCTCTTTTGATGTCTTTGTTCTTCGGGAGGTTGGCAGCAGCCAGCTGGCCATCTTGTGTGGGTTCTTCTTCTCCTCGGTCCTTCGAAGATATTAGTCACGAGTTGATTCACAGTTTGGTCACGCAGACTAGCCTGTCACCTGTAACTCGTGAATGGAGATGCCCACCGCAGGAATGTACCACGTAACGGTACCAGATCGCCAGCCCCCATTTCCAAATCACAATACTAGACTAGTACTCAATACTCTACTAGCTAGTAGCAAGCTAGCTAGCTTCTACCTTTCTCAGCACTCCCAACTCCCAACACCCACAACCACAGACTGAAGATCCAGTTCAAAGCTGAAGCTATGCCCAGGGATGCCACATGCGCAATGAGCACGTTCTTTGAACTTATTTTCCAAGGCCTCCCCTTGAGACGATACCATGGTCCATGGTCAGATGTTGGTAGTTCCTGCTGCCATTGTCACAGTTGCTGCCAGCATCATCTTCGAAGGCAGGCAAAAGAGGCATGCCTTCAATGAGTTGGACTGGAAAGTGAGTGGACTTGCCATGGCCAGCCTTTGTCCGATGCATCATCAATGTCATACCATGGTTTGCCTCCTTCGTGCTTCCTCTGCTGAAGCACTTGATGATTCAATCAGCTGTCCAACGAGCATTGCTACTGTGTAAGAAGCTACAGAAGGTCCAGCTACCAGACTGCTGTGCTTGGTCTGTGTACATGAACCCTTGTAAAGATTTCTGTTTGTTAGTCTCATCTTTGATGACTACGGACTACTTGACATTACTTTTTGAGAAACATTCTCTCGAACCCACCATTCTCAAACTCTTCAATCGGTGGCAATCCGAGGTTATATTCGTACCTCTTGTCGTAAGCACGAGTAAGAGTAGCCGGGTTGATGATATCTGGTGGTGCGTGAACTTGAGGCTCTTTCGGTGCTGGTGTTTCCCTATCCTTTGCTGTTTCCTTTGGTACCTTGGTTGCTTTTCCTTCCTTTGGCATTTCCTTCTGAGCCTTTTTTGGTTCGTTGGGTTTCTTTTGCTGTGGCACCTTGAAGCCATGCGAAGTTCGTGGACGAGGCTTCTTCACTGGTTCTTCTTTTACTTGTTCTTCCTTCACCTCAAGTGGCTCTTCCTTGAAAAACATACCGTCCAGCTCTCCATTGTCAAACTCCTCAATTGGCGGCATTGCTAGGTTGGGAGGCATCTTCTCGGCTTGAGTAGGGGTTCCTAGATTTTGAGGTATGTCCTTTCCTTGGGTGTGCCTAGGTTGTGGCTTCTTTTCCCGTTGACGCTGCTGTTGCTTTGGTTTTTGCTCTTGCCGTTCCTTCGATCGTCGCATCATTTCTTGCTGCATCGCCAGCATTTCCGCTTGGCCTTGGGGCTTGCCCCTTTGCTGTTGCTCTTGCATCTGTTCCATCAACTTTTGTTGGTCATTGAGCTTCTCTTGTATGGCCATTGTAATTGCCTCTTCGCTCATCCCACGCCGTTGCATTTCTTGCCTGGCCATGCTGATTTGTTGCTCCAACTGAGGATTCCCCATTTGCATTTGCTGGTGCATGCGATGCAGAGTTTCCAGGTAGTTCTTGTACTGGTGCTGTGCAAAGTCATTATTTGGATCAATTGTCAGTGCCTGCTGCATGATGCGTCCCTTTTCGAAGATATCTTCCGTGCAAAAAGCACGGGAGACAATCAAGCTACTCTGGGCATGAAATGACATCTTGGCATCATACCGGATGCCACCCTTTTCTCGTTCCTCGTGGATGAATTCGATAGCATCATCAATGAGGCGGAACGATTCTTCGCAGCGATCCAATTTGGCTAATGCCACAGTGTAGAGGAATGTATCATTGGGGTTTCCATTATTCGTTCTCACATCCCCACAGGGCCGGAGGAGTCGCTCAGCTTCGACGTATTCATCGTTCTTGGCCAACACTTTACCTGCATTTGACAAAGTGTGAAGCGATCGAGGATTCACTTGGGCAGCCCTCGTCCACAATGTGTATTCGTCAGCCCATGCCAGGTTCCGTTCGTGGACTTTGAGACCAAAGAACGAAAACTGAATCGCAAAGAATGTGTACAGAACCATGAGACCAACACTTTCTTCGCCATCATCTTTTGGCCTGAATGCACTTGACAAAAGTTTGAAAATCAATCCTTGAATCAAGCAGTAACCAAACAGGGGCAGATAGATGACACGATCAGCTTTGCAAAGCCCAGTGGTTACCAGCAGATTGGAAGAGAGGAGAAAGGGAAGGAAGAGGAAAGCATAAAAGGCAATCAATCCCACTTGTCGGATCTCTTTGCTTTGCTTCGATGCCTTTGGGGAAGAGCCCACCAAAAGGCTGTAGACGCTTCCCAAAGAAATTGCCCAAAGAAGAATGACAAGCCATGCACGGTTGTCCGACATGGATTCAATCAATGGGATTCCCAATCCACTCCAGTCAGGTGCCAGGTAGGCCGGGAACACCATGTCTCGAAGGTACAGGACGTAAACCCAATTAACACTGAAAATGCGTGTGAAGCGATCCTCACTGAAACCAGGAGGGTTCTGTTCGTGGACAAAGTCAGGAGAGGATTCGCCGTTCAACCAATATCTCAATGCAGCCATGGAGATGGTTTGAAGGGCCAACACCACAGTCCTCTTGACAAAGTTCCAGGAGTACGCTTCTCCTTCTCGCATGTTGGAAAGGAAGGATTGTACAGAGTCATGGTTTCGGATGAAATCAAAGGCCACGAGAGAACAGAGGGTAGTAACACCTTGTTCTTTGGAGAAGAGGGACAGTGCCATGAATAAGAACGGCAAGACGTAGACACAAACGAAGTTCCATGCAGCATTCACTTTATCCCAGGTGCTTTTGGCAGGTTCAGCCTGCACAGCTTTGATTGCCTTGTTGCTTTTTTTGCTGGTCTTGTTTGGACTCTTCTCTTTGGCATTGTTGTCGTCCTTATCTTTGCTGATTGTTGCCGTTTGCGTGGTTGGCGGCCTCGGAATATGATTAACGTAGAACAAGAATGCCAACAAGAAGAAGAGTGTCATCAACAGTTCTCCTCGACTGGTGATGTTCGACACAGCTTCTGCGTGTACAGGGTGGATTCCAAACAGAACTCCAGCAATAATTGATGGGGCTAGACTGCCGTCGCCTAGGACAATCGCAGCTGCTTCGGCGATTAGCCCAGTGTTGATGCCATGCAAGACGACGTTTACGACATGAAAATAGTAGGTGTGATCTGGAGCTCCAGCAGTCCCAATAACGTAGGACAAAATCATGTTCCATGTGAGAGTCAGTGTGGTAATAGGGCGGTAGCTTTTGTGGGAAGCGGGGTGGACCATATGCTGTCCCCAGAAGTCGCGGGTGAAGGCTTCATACCATGGGACTTTTAACATAACCACATCGTTGTTGGTGATACTGGCGACATCATCGTAGATAAAGACTCCATTCAGGGCTCGCTCGTCCCAGTAGGCGAGAATGGCAATAATGGCAGTGGTCCAAAGAATGGGGCGCCGCCATGACGTAATACTAGTAATCTTGAATGCTTTGGAAGCAGACATGCTCAAGAGAATTAGATTGTTTTCTGCAGTTCAGGAAGAGAATTGTCTCAACCCAAGGATGAAGAATGAGGGAGCCCACTAAATTGCTTCTTCAAGGAACGTGGCAAGAAGATCTTTTCTCAAGTCGGGGCGGAATTTATTTCTCAATTTATGAACTGAAGACCGAGGGAGCCTACTGCAATATTTCTTCTTGGCAAGATCTCATGGAGTGCATGGCTCCATGGAAGAATCGGTCTGCTGGTGAATGAGTGTCTCAGCGGCGACAACAGCAAAGATTCGAAGAGCTGGGCATGCAGTCTCGATGCTCGATGAGATGCGAAGTGCCAAGTTCGTTGCTTACAAGGGGCGATCTTCGTCGTTGTGGCTGAGCAGAAACCTGGCTCCATCGTTAGGGTTAAGGTCAATCTCAGACACGTTTCGAACTTCCTCATCGTCCAACCCCAATGACACAAAAAGTTGCCTGTCCTCACTCAAGCAGAGATTGAATGCCACTGGTGGAACAACCGTCACTGCTACTGTTAATAGCCAGTACTGTACCAGTATACCACAAGTTGATAGCTTGGACAGGATCATGTCTTCTGACAATACCGCAACCGACAAGGACAGTAGGAAGGCAAACACGCATGACGCAGTGTTTCAGAGAAACTATGCCATGGTGGAAGCCTTTGTCAAGGAACATGGGCATGCCAGAATTTCGAGAAACGGACCTATTAATACCATCTCTCTACGCAACTGGTTGGATAGTCAGTTTCGTCGAACGCGAGTGCCCGAACAAATCAAACCACAGAAAGAGCAGCTTCGAAAATGAAAAAGCCTCTTGCCTAGAAAAGATGAAAGATCATGGGATCAGGGCTATGCATTGCTTCAGCAGTACGAGAAGAAACATGGTCATCGTTTTGTATCCAAGAAAGATAAAGACAACGCCAAGCTATTTAAGTTGATTGATGGTGTGAAAACCTTGGCACTTAAAGGAAAATTAAGTCAAAGAAAAGTAGACACATTGAGACGACATTGCATCGTAGCTGAGGAGACAACTGAGGGGAATCGTGCTCATGGGTTGAGTATTAAATACAGTCATCGAAACAATCAGATCTTATGAGCAACTTGGTGAGTTTCAGCAAAACGAAGGACGCTGTCGAGTACCCTACAAGTATATGATTGTCCAAGGATTGGGTCGGTGGGTGTGTCCTCAGCGAAATGAGTTCAAAAATGGAAGGATGAATGAGGAACGGAAAGGGTTGTTGGAGAAACTTAGCTTTGAATGGTCTGCCTAGAACTACTATGGCAAGGCCACTGCTACTCGTTCGCGGCCCAACCATTGGACTAAGAACGCCTCGAACAACAACGGTAGCAGTATCTGTCCGCTGTGTTGCTAGCTACCGGTAGCTACCTTTGTCTGTAATAGTATGCCATAGCTAGCAGAGGCAGGCGTACATGAAGTTCAGTTGATTTCTGAAGTTTGGAGATATTTTGTGCTCCCAACAGCCAGCAAGTGCGAACTGTGCAGACATTATATATGTATCGGCGTCAGTGAATTGAAACCCCTCCTATTTACACTACGCCGTCCATCCTCGACAGCAAGCTCTGCTGTTGCTCCGCGTCATCTGACTTGGCAGGGCTTTGTGGATACTGCGACTGGTATTGCGTTGGCATTGTGTACAGCTCCGCCGTAGGAGTCAGTCGATCCATCAGATTTCGAAGGCGCGACCGGAACCACGGATTGCGATACCTCTTGGTGGATCCTGTCTTTTCCACTAGATAATCGTACTTGGCTACATTCATGTGTTCGTTGGTTGTCAAGTTACCCACCGAGAGCTGTGTGTGGTAGACAAACATACCCGCAGTAGGAATCACGTGCAGACCTTGAAAGACTCCGAGGAGCAACCATCCCCAAGGTATTTTGGGTGATCGAGAGAGGCACATGACAAGGTTGAATAGGAATGCCACGTGAAGGAAGGCTAGTGACGCCAGGAAGAAATAAAAGTAGGGATAGTTGTAGAGTCCGACGGTGTTTCCCACAAAAGGGCAATGATGATCAAACATCAAGACGCATGTCCTCGTCACTCGACAATGCTTGCTCCGCAAAGGCCGGGCAATGTGGCAGGTATGGCAGAGTGGCTGCATCGAATCAATACAAGCAAACACAAGCACGCGTCAGAAGTCATACCCCCCCAAAAAACGAAACAAAAAAACGTCAATCCTCGTGGTGTTCGTACCTGTGCCTTGATGGCTTGCTGCATGTCGCTGGTGGTAGCGTAGGACTCGAGCGTGGTTTCGTACAGCTTCCTCCAGTACTGCACCACTTGCTTGTGCCGTTTGGGAAGTCCTTTCTCGGATCCCTCATCGACGACTAGATTTCCAGGATTGGTAAAAGTTGTTTTTTGCAAGGTGATGATGCAAATGAGAAAATTCATGACATTGAGCAAATGCCAAAATGGGAAGTCCCACAACAAGCCGGTGGACGGTTGATGGACGGGACAAAAGACGAAGGGATACCAGATCAAAATGTGTATCAATCCGTGTGCCCACAAGTAATAGTATGGGAATTGCGGTGCTTCGTCCATTTCGTCCGCAAAGTCGGACAATCCCATCCACAATTTCCACGCATGCCACGACGTCATTTGTTTCGCCGCCTTGGTCAATGTCCGTCGCCAGATTTGCCACTGCGATCGTTCGCGTACGTTAAACGATGCCAAATGATCTTGTGCATCTTGCAATACAGTTTGCACAGTGGGCCGATGTTTGTGAATGGCCAAGTCGAGAGGAGTGCGTCCATTGTTGTCCTTGTGATAGAGGAGATCCAACTTGTCTCGTTTGGTGGGACAGGTCCGATGCAACAACCATCGTACGACACTGGTATGTCCACGCAGAGCCGCCAAATGCAAGGGCGTTTGTCCGTATTGATCCGGTGCCATGAGGTCGTTGGCACTGTTGTATCGTCCTTCGCGTTCAACACGTTGTTCGTGGTACCAAAAGAGGAGTCCACAGACGGGCAGCGTCCCCTTGTATGCCGCCCAATGCAACGCCGTGTCGAGACTATTGTCCATGGCGTACAAATCGGCACGTCCCTTTTGCAACAAGTAGGCACAGACTTCGACTTGACCGTACTGTGCGGCAATGAGCAAGGGAGTACATCCCGATGCATCCGTGGCTTCCCAGTTGACATTGACTCCCGAGTTTTGCATAAACAAGGACAATATTCCGAGGGATTGTGCTCCCGGTTCGGTACATGCCCAATGCAAGGGCGTCATGGCAGTCCCGTCGTGGGAGGTGGTGTGCAGTAATTCGGTCAATACTTTTTTGGGAGCGTGATTCATAAAGAATTCGACAAAGCGTTTGTCATCCCCTCGTTTGGCGGCCCAATGCAAGAGTGTGTGACCGTTATTGTCAATCCATAGCCACCAAGTAGTGTTGCTGTTATTATTGGTTTGTTGTTTTTGCTGTTTTTGCTGCTTACTGCTGTCGTCCATCATGCTGCTAATGCTGTCGTTGTTATTCAACAGGGTATCTTGCGAGGGAGGATTTTCTTTTTCTCGTTCGATTAGAACCTTGGCCAAGTTTTCCCATTTTTCGTACTGCCCCAACCGCAAGAGCGTACTGAGCGCTTGCATGATTTCTTGGGGCGTCCCTTTTACGATTTCTTCCAATGGAATCATCAAGGACATGGCCGAAGCCGGGACTTGAATCCCACCACCTTGGGCTGCCGCCCGTAACATGGCTTGAGCTTGTTGACTATTATTTTGATTTTGATGTCCATGGGAGTGTCCATGAGAGTGATTGTGAGCCTGACACTGATGACCACCTTGTTGATTCTGCTGCGGTCGGAGTACCAATTTGGACAATTCGATCTGTTGTTCATGCGTCAGCACCACGCGCTTCTCCTGCTGTTGTTGACCTGGTTGTGCCAACGGATCATGATTCTGTTGGTGACCATGAGAGTGAGAATGCGAGTGATTGTGGCCATCACCCATCAGTGTGCCGCCAGTTAGTGTTATCTTGTCCATGGTGGTGGAACTGATCGCAATAGATACTGTGGGGTTGGATGATAAACAATGAAGAGGGAGGGTGGGACCAGTTGGTGGAAGCTTTGAATGGAAGACTGGGCTTGGCGTCGACGTCGGTCGTCGCCTTTGATCTTTCGGCGAACAAACCTGGAGCTTTGCTGGGTCTTGTCAACTAGGGTTAGAGATTAATTAACGGATCCTTTTGAAGATCGCAAAGGCCACCTCAAAGATCTCAGCATCATCAGCCATCACTGCCACAAACCGTGACAAGCCATTTTGTCGCCTTGGTAACTTCTATGGATCATAGTCATCATTCATTTTGAACAACAAGTAGACTACTGTTAGCTAGTACAGCACCATGTCACTCATCTTTGGTCCTCATCCCAAAGTGGTACCCAACCCCGATGCCGTCTTGATCAAAGAAGTTCGAGCCTTTACGTTTGGAAATGACGATCAGGAAAAGGAATCGGGAGGAGGAGCCGATTGCCACAAACAGGCCAAGGGACATTGGATTGTCGATTCCGATATTGCCAACCCCATGAGTGTCTACGAACAGTACCGGTCCAGTCGATCTAGCTGGGGCATTGATGCCATGGGCAGTATTGTGGTCGAAGTCGAACTCACCAATGGTATGGTCGGTGTGGGTATTTCGATTGGTGGTGATGCCGCCTGTTTCATGGTCGAAAAACACCTCAGTCGATTCGTAGAAGGACAGGATCCCAGTAATGTCGAACTCATGTGGGATCAAATGTGGAAATCCACCATCAATTACGGACGCAAGGGGATTGCCGTGCAAGCCATTAGTGCCGTTGATATTGCCATCTGGGACGCATTGGGACATTTGCGAGGAATGCCCGTCTATCAGTTGCTAGGAGGAAAAACAAAGGAACGAATGCCCGTGTATGCCACCACGGCAAGGCCCGATCTCGCCAAGGAAATGGGATTCCACGGAGCCAAATTCCCCCTACCCTACGGACCTGCCAATGGACAAGAAGGCATGGTCAAAAATGTAGAGCTCGTCAAAAAGTGGAGAGACGCAGTGGGACCCGAATTCCCCATTATGATTGATTGTTGGATGTCCTTGACGGTCCCGTATGCGCTCGAATTGGCCCGACGCTGTCAACCCTACAATGTCAAATGGATTGAAGAGACGCTCCCTCCCGATGACTATGAAGGGTACGCAGAAATCAAACGAAGGGACTGTTCCACCCTTTGGACCACGGGTGAACACGAGTACACACGATGGGGATTTCGTACCCTCTTGGAAAAGAAGTGCTGTGATGTCTTGCAACCCGACATTACCTGGTGCGGTGGAATTACAGAGGCGAGACGCATTATTGCCTTGGCATCAGCCTACAATGTCCCCATCATCCCGCATGGGTCCAGTGTCTACTCGTATCATTTGCAAATCTGCTACCCCAGCTGCCCCATTGCCGAGTTTCTCGTCATGTCTCCCAAAGCCGACAAGATTGTCAGCTTTTTTGGAAACCTCTTCAAGGATGAACCTCTGCCCAAAGATGGATATGTGGAAATTCCGGACAAACCAGGATTTGGTGTCACTCTGAATAGAGAGGAACTCAACATGGTGCGTCCCTATCCACGGGCAAAGTTGTAAGGAAAAGATGACAACACAACCGGCGAGAAAGGATAGAACATACATTCGATGTGCTTTTGTGACCCTGTCGGAGCTGATAGATCCTGTTGAGCACTACAGATATTACTACACTCATTCTAAAGCACTAGCAGTACACTTTTACTTTTAAAAGTTGATCATCACACGTGTACAAAACCAGCACCTAATAGCTAGTCGTATAGTATGGTAGTTCAGCTTGAAGCCACTTCATGTACGTTTAGTAAACTGATCGTCCACCGGTGGCATCAAAGCAGAATCCAGTGCTAAACGACGCTTCTGGCGAAGCAATAAAGGACACCAGGGCAGCAATTTCCTCAATCTTTCCGCACCTTTTCATTGGGATCTTGTCTGTCATATACTTGACTTGTGCTGGGGGCATATCCTCCACCATTTGTGTCCGTACAACGGCAGGAGCCACCGAGTTGATTGTCACGCCTGTTTCCGCGTACTCTTTGCCCACCGCTTTGGTCAGACCAATCACTGCAGCCTTGGAGGTCGAGTAGGCGACCATCCCAGCATTGCCTTCCTTGCCACTGATAGATGCAATATTGACCACTCTGCCAAACCCTTGCTTGGTCATGTGTGGCAATGCTGCCTTACAACCGTTAAAGATGCCCTTGACATTGATGCTCATGACGGTATCAAAGTTATCCGCATTGACATTTTCACACTTCAAATTGGTTTCACCAACAATGCCTGCTGCTTGGACTACAACCTCCAAGCGACCATGAGTCGATGCCACTTGATCCCAAGTTTTCTGAACAGCCGCAGTATCGGTCACATCACAAGCCACTCCCTGATACTGACATGTTGGTGCAATCAGGTGCAGTTTCTTGGCAGCTTCATCCAAAACCTCTTGGTTCAAATCCACAATGACAACCGCAGCCGCTCCTTCCAAACCAAAGTGACTCGCGATTCCAAATCCAATACCACGAGCACCACCCGTAACAATGCAGACGCGTCCTTCCAAACGTCCTGGTGACGTTTTTCTGGCCAGAGACGACGTGGAAGGTGCCGCCAAGGCAGCCACAATGGGAGAGACTAGAGTCCCAATGGATTCAATTTCGCACTCGACGACATCCCCAGGTTTGAGCCATTTCGGAGGCTTGCGAAAGCATCCTACTCCAGGAGGCGTTCCAGTAGCTACCAAGTCTCCTGGGTAGAGAGTCATGAATTTGGATAGCCACGCCACCAACTGGTCAACCTTGTGGATGAGATTGGAAGTATTGGAATCCTGCAATGTTTCTCCATTCACGCGGCAAGCAATTTTTAGTTTGTGCACCTTTTCCAATGTCAATTCGTCGCTGGTAACAATCACGGGTCCAATGGGCCCATAGCCATCCTGGCATTTTCCCAATAGCCATTGTCCACCATTCTTTTCCAGTTGCCAATCTCTGGCCGAGACATCATGGACCACCGTGTATCCTTTTTACGACAAGATAATCAAAAAGAAGGTCGTGCATTAAAATTAGGAAAAACTGACGGATAATGACACAAGAACAGGATACCCACACCAAACCTAAATTGTACATACCTCCAATGTACTGACCAGCGTCCTTGGCTTCAATATTCCGAGGCACTGTCTTTCCAATGATGAACCCCAACTCGACTTCATAATCCAGCTTGGAAGTTAATTGTTCGTCGCAAACGACGGGATCATTCGGACCACTCAGAGCAGAAGGGAATTTGTTGAACACCACAGGCTCCTCTGGAATGGGGATATTTTGCTCAGTACAATGATCAACATAATTCATTCCAATACAGAGCGCCTTTCCACACGTCGAGGGATCCAAGGGAATGAGCAAACGGGCTTCTGATGCTGGAATTTTGGGCTCGCCACTAGTACCAATCAACTCTTTGGCTTTGGTAATGGCCACTTCCCCAAGTTCGAAAAAGCCGCGAGTATGAGTGGCAATACTGGACAGATCGACATACGAGCCATCGTCGACTTGAGCTACCAGCTTGGTAGAACCTTTGTGGTGAATGCTAGCCAAGCGGACCATCTTGATATCTGACTCGTAGCAACAGTTATTGCTTCAATGAACACGCAAAAAATAATGTCGCGACGATCTTTTGGATCTTTACCGGGTTCGACTCGACTCGACTCGTCACTCGACTGTCACTCGTCACTCTATTCGTTTTCCGCTTTGACGGATTATTTCTGTGCAGTTTCAAGCAGTGACCGCTTTTCACCAGGAAGGCACTCATGGCTCTCTTTCGCTCATTTTCACCAGCCTCCCTTCTATTTTGCTTCTTTGGTCTCCTGTCTTTTGCTTCTCTCGGATCGTCACTGCTTATTCTCACCACTCTGACCACTCCCAGCTTTTATCAGCACTATGTCGACCAATGACGGAAACAACAACGACTTCTTTGATGCCGAGGAGACGGATCCTCAAAAGCTTGACGAGGACCACGATGAAGTCGTCGACGAGGACAACGCCGGAGAAAAGCGAAAGGCCAGTGCTGGTAAGCAACCAAGAGCACAGAAAAAAATCAGGGTGTCCAATGCCAGAGGATTGCCGTGGGAAATTCAAAGGGCGCTGGCCATGGAGATCGAAGCAATGGGTGGGATGGACATTTTCAAAAAGACGACTCATGGGATGTCCACGATTTGTGATCGTAATCCTGCCGTCTTTGGACTGCCGGGTAGCCGAAGACGACACCAAATTAGGAGTGAGTGACCGCTTGGCTGCCTCAAGCCAGTTATCCCGTTATCCCTGTGGTAACTTTTCTGACACATCTCTCTTCAAATTCCAAAAACTGAAAGGTAAGGTCAAGTATTGGAGAACTTACACTCCTGGAGAGTACAAGGCTTTGATTAATAGCTTTGTCGAACGTGGAGGTACCAATGCGTCTACGAATTCGGCACTGTTGCTACAGCAACGAAATAACATGAATATGCAATATCAGATGCATCAGCAAGCAACCATGCAGATGAACCCAGATTGTTTCCCCACCAAGGCGCGAACCAGCCAACCTTCGGATATATTTCCAGTTGCGAAGCAACCCAAGGGGAAAGCGCAGCAGCAACAGGGTCAAAATGCCTTCCCCAAAGCTCCTCCCTACTTTGGGAATAATCAGCCCCCACCACCTCAACAGCAGCAGTCACCAACACCACAGTTCCAACACAATGTTGCCCAGCAGCAGTTTGCTAGCGAAGAAAAGCCAGCTGAAAAGCGAAAGCTTAGTTTGCCCATCAGCGACGAGCAAAAGTATGGTAAGTGATAGGGGACAATTGAATACCCCCGCGAATCTGACTAATGAACCCTTGTTTATTGCAATAAATAGAAGTGATCCAGGTCGATACCAAATTTCCAGAGAACAACTGCGGTATTGGCATTTTTGAATTCGCGGATGCTGAAAATGGAGGGTATCTTCACAATGGATACGAAATCACAATGGAGGGTGATGTGAGGGACCTTGTAGCTGATGCCTACAAGGCCACCTTGGTCGGTGAGAGGGACATTTTGCTACGAGTACCAGCAATGTCATATTCCTTCCTGCACAATCACGAAGAGTTCCAAAAGCGTGCCAAATCTAATGATCTATACTGCCCCTCCACCGAGGAAGCACGAGAGCAGGCACGCAAGAGAATCTTGAAGGACCCTTCACGCCAAGATCGCTTCATCTTATTGGAGTTTCCCGAGGGAGTCAAGCTCACGAACAAGATCTTTTCGCCAGAGTCTACCGATGGAGAGATCGACTTTGACTTGATGCCAATTACGATCGACGTCGAGTTGAACGGGAAGGAGTTGCCCATGACCATCACTCGTATCTCCTGGAGGGTGACTACAGAGGCGCGAAAACGTCGTCCTGTCAGGAAGGATAAAAGCGAAGAAGCGGGTGGCGCAACGACAAAAGGAGCTTCAAAGCTGGCCAATCTCTTTTGAGATGTGCAGTATGGGTACGGTACAAGCTAGCAATTGCCTACAGTTTGTTTGCTCGCGTGTTTGTGCACGAACCAGTGTTGTCATTACTCGTAGTAAGGTTTTGAACCAATCGGATTCAATTCCAGTTTAGATATATATCACAGGCACTTGTACTAGTTTACAGCCGCTACGTTCTCTGCCACAACCGAGCTTGAAGGGAGCTCGAATCCTTTCTCTGTCAGGAGCTGCTCTGTGTACATCCAAAGTGCCTCTTGAAGCTGGTCGCTTTGTGCTTTCTGGGACGGCTCCACAGGGCTGCAATCGTCGTAGTATGCCCCGTCTTCGACATGGCGAGAGAGTGCACAGTACACAGATGTGGCTGCTCCTTGCTCCACTGATTTGTTGGCAATAAGACCAACCAAGGGTTGCATGAAGGATGGCAAGCTATGCTTCCATAGTGGCGATGCAATAACACCAGGATGGAGACACACCGAGTCAATCATTTTACCTTGGTTCACTGAAACGAGTTCCTTTTTCAGTTGTTTCGTAAATAGTATGTTGGACAGTTTGGAGGTGCCATAGGCTCCCCATGGCGTGTAGGACTCTTTGGATTCCCAATCTTCATTACCAGCACTCAAGCCAAAGTTATGAGCCGTGGATGCGACATTGACAACCCTCCCTTTGTTCCTCATTTGTGGCAAGAGTAGCCTGGTCAAATAGTGATGCCCCACATGGTTGGTTCCAAACTGTTTCTCAATACCGTCCGTGGTTGTCTCTCGTTGTGGCAGAGCCATAATGCCAGCATTGTTGATGAGCACGTCAATACCGTCGTGTTTGCTGCAAATGGAGGCTGCCGCCTCCTGGACCGATGCCAGTGATGACAAGTCGAGATATTCAATCTCTACTCGGTCTTTGGTGGCAGTTCCTAGCTCATCCTTGAGCTGATTGGCCGAATCGATATTGCGGGCGCAGACAACGACGTTCATGCCGGATGCCACCAGTGCCTTGACTGTTTCAGCTCCGATTCCAGAGTTACCACCGGTGATCACAGCAGTTCCACCTTGAGATACAAATGGGGCCAATTGGTCGTTTTGTTGGAGGTAGGCGAGCACTTGGTTGGCCGTGGATTTGCGACCCAACAGCGACAATGCCGTTGTGCCATGGCAGAGAAGTGCTGCTGCCACCAGCACACAGCGTTGGAGAGGAAAAGAAGAGAATGAGGTCATCTTGTCTGTTTTATGACAGCAATCAGCTTCCACTTCATCTGATTCGATTCCTTCCTTCCTTCCTTCCTTTCTTCTTGAATGGGATAGAATCAGTGCTGCCGCCCCAAGCTACCATACAAAAAACGGTGGCAATGCATGCAACCGCATGGTTGCGTCATTGTTTTCTTCTCTTTGATAGATTTGGGACTGAGTCAGATTCGTGACTTGAGCTCCATTCACGGGTTGGAGGCATTTTTAATCGTGCCCGATCCTTCAAGGCTCTTTTCACGAGGAGCTGAGCAGTGACCATGGCACAAAACCGGAAGACCAACGGCGGCATCACATTCTCCCCTTACATTTTGTTACTACTAGTACGGCTGTTTATAGCAACTACCAGACCGCTCTACTTAGCAGAAGGACCTGACGCCTCTTCAAGTGGAAATACGATCGAAGGTTTACATTGTATCTATCGGGCTGGATTGGATCAAACAGACCAACAAAAGCTTGATTCTAATACCGGCAATTGAAGAGTCCGTCGTGGGTAATGTTTAATGGAAACAATATGAGCACGAAACCGTACAGCCAAGTTCCTCTCGATGAGTTCAGTGATGACAGCAGCAATGGGGGAGATGACTTTGTCACCAGAAGCATTCAGAACCAAAAGGTAGGATTCGATTCAAGATTGCCCTTGTTGGGTGGATGGCTGCATCGAGGATCGAGTTGAGGTTTTTGCTGTTGATTCGATTCATTCAATGTCTCACTATATAAAATTTCCCCCTGTTTTAGCTCCAAATGCAAAAGCAGGATCAAGGCCTGGAAATGTTGAGCCAATCGGCAATACGCCTTGGAGAAATGTCCATGAATATTCATGATGAACTCAACCAACAAAACCAAATGCTGGATGAAATGGATAACGACTTGGAAACTGCAGGGGAGAATCTTGACATGATTACACGAAAAACAAAGGAACTAATAGAAAAATCGGGCGGCAAGGGAAACTGCATGCTGATATTGTGCCTCACCTTGACGGCGGTGGTTTTGTTCCTCCTGATCCTTTACACCTAACTAAAAGCAAAATCAGGAGCGTGGTAGATGGAGCACATCCATGAAAACCGAAACCATCCATTCGATTTTAGATCAAAACCAACAACAATTATCACATTCCTTGAACTGAATCGAATCGAAGGGAAATCGTTTACATCTGCTGCCAAGAGATTGATTCTGCGGCTTAGAGGCCACTAGTAGTTAGTTTGGTTTTTGACAACGCGCCAAGATCAAATTCGATAGATCCGTGCGCTGATAAAGATTCTAGAAGTTGAAACATCAATGCTAACATCAATGCTAGCCACGTAGCTTTCCTTTCTACATTTACTGACATGTTCGAGTGGGATCATCTAAGCTAGCCAGATTATCGATGTTGTTGGAGCTGATCTATCTTAGTAGATATAATAGACGATCGGATGCGGATTGCATCCACGGAAGCAGTGCATAGTGCATTGGAATCGTCGACAGAGCTGCACTCGTGCTACAGTAAACTCAAGGATTCTTGTCGTCGTCCTCTTGCGACAAATTCATACCAAGAGTTGGCGCTGAAATCAATTCTGCCGCTTTGCGTTGATCTTTGATCAGGTCTTCCTTCAAGTCCACTAAATGGGTCAAGGTGGGTCTACCGTGAGCGCTGTGGTTCGTAAAGAGCAAGCAACAAGTCAGATAGCGTCCTGCCATATGAGCTCAAGGGTCTCAGCCTTTGACGAATGCACTTAATAGTTTAAAATGCGTGCGTACGTACCACTTCCAAGGATCGTCCAGCTCATCCAAATGCTTGACGAGCTTTTCCATTTCCTTCTTCGACAGAGCTGTGCCAACCATGACAGAGCTTCTGCAAGCCCTGCTGGCGAACATCGCAATCGCCTTGGGAAGCCGAGTGATCACCTTGTCCGCGCCATCCTGTGTCGAAGTCAATTGAGATCCTGCGTAGCGACGAACAGCATTGTTGCCATACATGCCACTACCGTCAGCTCCCGTGCCACCTCCAGCAGACCCATCGGCGTAGTTAATCGCTTCGTCTTCAAAAACGGCGCCACTTCCGGCTCCCAGCATTACACAAAGAGCCGAAACATCTTCCTTGCCAAAATTGACTGCTTTACGCCCGTCACGAGCACCAGAGTGGGGAAGCGCCGTGAGTGACATGCGGTGCCGAGGAGGCTTGTCTTCGTTGTATTGGAAACGGAAACCGTTCTTCTCAAAAATCTCCATGTTGTCCAAAATGCACGTTTCTTCGGAAGGATCCAACTCCAGCGGCATGGGTGCAATCAGCTGTTGATGGTGCATCACAGTAGTTTGCATCAAGCGTTCAAAGTTCGCCCGCTCATCACCTGCGTGACCAGAAAGGCAAAGAAAGACAGAAAGCGTTAGTCGAACTGATTACAACGCAGTTTTGCACATCCAACCAATCGAAAACTTACAAGCATGTTGATCCAAGATCCAAAGGTGATTTTGCTCATCGGAAGCAAGAATGAATCCCAAATTGAACTGTCCAAGAATTCTCATCTTTGCAAAATCACCTTGAGCCAAGGAAACCTTGCTTGTTTCCTTCCCGTCATCATTTTTCTGATCTCGGCGTGCTTCTTGGAGCCGACGTTTTCGTTCCAGCCCACTTCGCCGTTCCAACCTCGCCATTTTCACGACATTTTCTGTGCCGAATGACTCCCAGACAACCGCGCTGGCGCCAGGCGATCGCTCTGATTGTTGAGCAACAAGGTCCGACTCGGGCGACTTCAACTCCTCGCTTTTCGTTTCTGGATCTGTCTTCCTCCGCTTGGAGGCCTTTCTACTATCCTGCCGAGCTGAACCACTGGCTTCTCCGGACGCCTCCTCTGGCGAGACAGCCGGTTGCGTGGCTGTCTTGGAGGGCTCTTTCCCGAAAGCGAATTGTTCCAAGTTTAGGGCTGGAGCATTGTTAGTCCTTCTCGACCGACCAGGGGCTACATGTGGTGTTTGATAGGCTTGCTTGGGACTCACCGAGCTCTTCAGTAGGACATCAATTTCCTTCTCTGGATTGTTTTCGTCTCCCTTATTGAATCGAGACTGTGCGTCCACCCATCGCAACTTGTCACCATCGCTGGCCCCCACCGGCACTGATCCCGCGGCAGCAGATGCTGCAACTTCATTGTTCAGACTTAGCGTGACTCTTCGCGAAGAGCAGGCATCGGTGGGACCAACGTCCTTTTCCTTCTTGGCTGGAACAGGCGAAGGAGGGCCTGTCCGACGCCGTTTTTCAGGAGGCCCTTCTTTCTTGGTCTCTTCTTCATCATCGGAAGGATCCTCAATGCCCTCTGGAATCTGAAAGTTGCGATCCAGGGATGATGGCCGTTCCCACTGTTTGGCTGTGGATATGTCGTGAACGAAGCCACCGCGACGCCGCACACGAGGAGACTCCCCATTGCCTGTTGGTTCTTGCGGCATAGATGCTTTGGCTTTTTTATCGTCTTCGTATAAATCGGCTGCACCACTTGCATTTAGGCGTCGTTGTTCGTTCTGTTCTCGCTTGAATCGACGCATGTACTCCCTTTTCGCAGCTGTTTGACCATCTTCATCTTCATCCTCTCCCTCATTGTCATCTTCATCAACATCCATGTCATGATTTTGTTCGTTCTCTTGTCTCTTGCTGGGTGCATTGGGTATTTGTGCATGCAATTCACGTGCCCGTTGTCGATTGGATTCCTGGATTTTGGCCAAACTCTCCATGTTGTCGATTTTGGGAATGACTTTTTTATGCGGATTGTCGCTAGCTGGGGCAGGTGCCGGGGCAGAAGCTTTAGAAGGTTGACTTGCCGCAGGAGTGAATTTTCCATCGGTTTGACTGGCCCAAAAACTGGTGACGCCGGTTTGTATGGCTTCACAAATGGCGTCCTCATGCGTGAGTAAGACTTGTCTCTTTTCCGGCGACAAATTCACATCGTATTCTTGGTTGGGCAGAGTCAGCGTGAGAATGCAGGAGTATTTCTTTTTGCTGCCCATTGACCGCCAAACGTCGCCTATTGTTCGCGCAACTTTTGGTAGTTCGACGGGACGCCCATTGATGCAAAAGAACTGCTGTCCTGCCTTAACATTGTTGCCGTCTTGGTCCGACGCCGCTTTGGATAGAAAGCCTTCTAGCTTCCAGGATCCTTTCGGACTCGATTCATCCACGGCACTAGCCAAATCAATGGTTACGGGGGCGACACTGGCGAGGAATTTGCTTCCCAAAATTGACGAGATAGTGTCTTCCAGTTTCTTGCTGTTGGCAGTCGTCCCCAGTAAAGTTGTTTCTTTCCGATCAATCACATCCATCAGATTGATGCGGACACCCACACTGAAAATGGCATCTAAGCCGTAGAAACAGGAATTATTTATCTGTGAGCAAGGAGAAACCTCATCATTTTTCCTTCCTTTCCGCCACTTACATGCTTCCATGAGACGCATCAATTTGGATCGATGCTGAGTGATCCTCCGTTCCATGTCTGCCCTTCGAACTGGAAGAGAATTCAGCAATTTGACCACCGCCACGGTGGTCCCTACTTTTCGAGGGACGACAGCGACCGAAGCAGCGTCGAGGGTCCCATCATGTTTGAATTCCATCTTTTGCCCGAGTGGCTCACTTTCGGTTCGAGTGGCTACAATGAGTTTACCTGATAGATTCGCCAAACAAAACAAAGCTTCTCCTCGAAAACCCAACGACGTAGCAGAGCTGTAGATGTCATCAAAGGCGCGAATTTTGCTGGTAGCATGAGCTTGAGCCAAGAAGGGCCGAGACACTGGGGGAACGCCCGTGCCATCGTCCGAAACTTCCAAGATCTCAAGGCCTTGATTGAAGAGTCGGACTGAACAAGAAAGATAGACACGAACAGATGGATGAGATGCTTGAACGAAAAACAGAGCCGCAAACAGTAGCTACCGCCGAGAACTTACTGTTGATGCTCTTGCTGCCAGCGTCGAGCGCATTGTCGAGCAGCTCTTTCACAGCCGACGCCAAATCGGACACGGCCTGCCCCGCAACTATCCGTCGAACCGATTCCTCTTCAATGGGACGGATCATTCCGTCGTCAGCTTTGCCTTGCGATGAGTCTGCCATGGTGATCGATGAAACTTGCTCAGTATTTAGGAGTCCGAGGGCGACACAAAAATTCGGGAGACCAAATGTAGAGCACAAATGTTCCTCGAGACAACTAATGCTTGTCTCCGGCAAGGTCTTGTGTGTTTCAAAGGCAGCGACTGTGCAATGATGGAACCTCTTAGGACCACAAAATGGGACTTGTTACTGCAGACCTCAGCTTTGCACTTGTATGGTACCACTACCGGTACGGCCGTACGATCACACCGAGAAATTTAGTAACAACCGGCAAAAAGATGAGGGCTGTATACGATACAGCCAGTGGCCACCTGCTCGTGATATTTTCCGTACTGCTGAAATAAATGTATTGGAGGACGCGTTCTGCTTGCCGTTTGCTGTGTGCTGCTTCGTCCTTGCTTTCTTACCAAGCTGAGATGCCCGCCATTGAGTGATACTTATACTTTGGATTCGCTGGTTGGATCCCAATCGGCCATGGTCACAGTCCCAGATCGCTCCTGGACGTGAGCTTACCCGCAAAAGGCTATGGACACCTTCCGGTGCACAAATGGGACATTTGAGCCTTGGTTTTAAGTTTATTTTTGTTTGGATCATGCTGGATGGATACCCGGTAGATCTAGATGAAGTTGAATCGAATGCTTCTTTTGAATACAAGCACGGGTACCAGTACCACAAGATGAATACAGTACGGTACCACCAGAGCATCATGGTTGAGTTGAATCTCAGTCTCCCAGAACCCAGAAGAGGCTAGCTAGCTAGGTCCTACCTGGTACTGTATGGAGTAGTATGGAGGATGCCCCCTTGCTTCTGTCTGCTCTTCTCACCGTAGCTTGCTACTAGTAAGCAAGGACTAAACACAAGGACCACATTGTAGCGACGATGGCTCCAGTTTTGGCTCCAGGAATCTTCAATCCGACCGGGCTAGCTAGCAAAGCAAATATGTTGCCAGTCGACTTAGTTATGAACCCAAACCAATGCATCGTTCCGTATGGGAAGAAACCCAGCGCGATGAAATATCTCCGGCAATCCACACTGCAGCTATTGCACTCGGAAAGACTACCAATGCAGTAGAATTACTGAAGCAATCAAGGAAATCACCTGATTATGCTCATCAACTCCTGCAATTAAACCTACAATTTCCGCAAGCAGAATTCTGTACCGGTACTGGTACACCGGTACTGGATGAAGCTCTGCATGACCACATCTTGATCACAGTCATGTGATCACTGTGAGCCAAGTAGAGATTATTTCTAATGATTGAGGACAAGCTGTACCCATCTTATTCCGTTCCTTGAAGTAAAAATGTCAATTGTGAAGTGTCACGCACAGTTGTTCTGATGATATTAGCCAGCTAAGTTTCTAAAGCATCCTGAGGAGCCAGCGGCCACTCTGTCCTGCGGTCAAGCAGCCTTCTAACCAGCGATAAAACTACAATAGCTACCGGTATACTGGTAGCTACGGTAGGAGCAAAGCAAATAGCTTTCCTCCCCAATCCGATACGGTACAGCGTACTGTTTAGTAGACTAATATTACTGGTACCGATTGAGGCAACTGATGAGGCGAGATCTTGCTAACAGTTCTTGATGCAAACTAGAACTCTTTGATGAAGCCGATTGGAAGAATGTTGATTGGTACGGTAGCAGTTTTTGACGTCCGCTTCCAGTAAAATAATACTAGAAGAATGCCTCCCCACCACGCTGCACTACAACCGGGCCTGCCATGTGAAGTGTCATGCGCCAGCTGCCACCCTCACGCTTGTAGATATTCAGCGCCTCCAGCTGACCACCACCCTCTGCCTTTTCTACACAAGTACAAATGGCTGTCAAGCCACATATCTCAATTTGAACTCTCGCTGGCTCAATGGAAAACTTTCCCTTTCCACCAGAAAATATCTGCTTCCAGGATGCCATAACTGCTTCCCTCCCTTCAATGCTCGGTAGGCCTGGATGCACACACCGCACGTCCGATTCCGTGCTCCAAACCGTTTCCATTGCTTCCAAGTCACCATTGGAAAAGGCATCATAAAACTCTAGTTGCGATCTACGAACTCCAAATTCTGCAGCCGTCTTGGCATCACCAATGGCCGTTTTCAAATCGGTGGGATCTTCGTCGGATCCAAGGATGGCCAGTTCAGCTTCCATGATTGGCAACCGAAGTACTGGATCCTGACCACCAGCTGTGTCACTGCTGAAGAGAACAAAGCTTCTTCTTCCTTCGGAGACGACTGATTGACGTGTAGGAATTCGCTGTTCCCATGCTGTCGACCGACCAAAGAAGAAGCACAGCACGACGAATGACAGAAATGAACCTCGATTGAGGACCGTCACATTCGACACCATTTTCCGAGTTCCATCAGCCAAAACCATTCTCTGTTAACTGCTCCTTTGGGAATGGCAACTCAATTCCTTGACCTTCGATCGCTGCTGGACCTTTCCAGTGCTCGGTGAAATAGAAGTCCGAAGTACCGGTTTGTATAAAATATAAATCTGCAACTCTGGAGCGCCCAGCAAAGATCCATCATCCTTCCTACCGATAGGCCGGCAGGGCTGCACAATTCAGGAGACGGGGAGTTGGGCCTGGCACTGGACCTGGTGTATGTGGACTGTCGCATATGGTAGGTCCAAGCAGTGTTTCAGGGTTGACGCCAGGAGCTAGCTCTGCTTTGAGCTTCTACGTTGTACCGGTAGGTCCAGGTTGCGACCAAGAGTGGGGCTTGCTGTTGAGGCTTGGCGTGGGTCAGAAGGAAGTTTTCAGGTGTTGCTATGGGGTGTGGCCAGGTTAGAGGCCAGGACTTGACTTCTTCCGGCGATTGAAACCAAACCAAACCAACCAAACCAAACCAAAATAAAATAAACCATTCCCTTACCCATCAATTTTCACGCGCGAAGTTCAAAATTACCGGGTAGCTGCTTTGCATCTCTCGTTCCCAACTCCCGGAAAGGTCACACTGTGCTCGAGGAATCTGCGGCTGTTGCCTTCTTCCACAAAGATCCCCGAAATTCTTAGTTTCATACATCTACATGTATCTCATCCGGTCAAGCCCGTTTACGATGATTTTTCAATTCCGCTGGCTAGCTAGGGAGAAGTTCCTTCCTGTTGCGCCTCCATTTGTTGTAAACCTTTGTCCCCACAATATTTTTCAAGGCCGAAGATAAACGTTTCCAATGAATTTCACGCGGGATTGCCTTGCTTTTACCTTGCTTTGAACCAGGCAACCGTAGTACCATCCGTTCGACAGCCTCTTTCATTGTTTCGTACAGGAAATGCTCTGACGCCCATTGGACGTCGTCCTGTGCATGAAGAATAAGATGCTCCTCGGCGTCTTCCTCAAACCCTGTCCTTAGTTCCTCAATGGCTAGATACAGAGGCAGACACAATTCCGACCATGGATGAATCTTTTTGTCAATGCTGCCTTCCACATATCGCATGTACTTTTCGATGGCCCCAGCAAAAATGTCATCCCATGGTACAACGTTGTTTGCACGGTCTTTCGAGTCCAGGATCCGATGCTGGATTGCCAAGAGTGACATTGGACTACGAAGCAACCAGCGACCAGCCATGTGGGATCCAATCGTGCTGACTCCCCGACTTTCACCTTTAATGTGGTTTCGGCGGTTCATTTTCTCTGTTTTCAAATCTTGCAACGTCTGAATACCTCCATTGAGAGTTACTCGCAAGGCTGGAAACTCACTTGCAACTTGCTCCACAAAGTCATAATCCAATGGCGGTATAAGGCGGTTTTTGGTTGGACTTAACCCGGACAGTATAGCAGGTCTGGAATGCAGTACAACGTGGGAAATTCCGCCCAGTTGGGCTTGATCAATGTATTCACATAGGGACTGGAAGTGCTCGTCCTTCCACCACTTTTCATCGGGAGAAGATGTCATGGCGAATTCCAAATCATTTATATCGTCAAAAACAGCCGTGCGGCATTTCAAACTGATTGCAGGCATGTGTGTATTGTGGATGTTACTGCTTCGACAGGCATTGCCAATAGCCTCAAAAAGAGTACGCGTCAGGGCTGGCTGTTTCATGAGACTGGCCCCATAATCAGCCCCTCCAGCTTCGATACTGGGGCAACCACAATTGAGGTTTATCTCTCGGAATTGATACCCGGATTGCAGGAGGCCGGACACGCATTTTTCCATTGCGAAAGCATCATTTCCACCTAGTTGCAGTGTCAGTCGATGCCGGTTGTCATGTTGTTTTTCGAGGTCGCCAAACCGTTTCTGTATTGCCAAATCATCTGCGCCGAGCAAGTCTTTTACCTTTTCCATTTCGGTCCATAGGATCGCGTCCGGTGAAAGCAATTGGAAGAGGTGCCGTAACGGGGCATTTGTGTATCCCTGCATCGGCGCAACATGAAACTCATATGACCTGGGAAGTGGCAAGGCTATTGAAGGATCGTTGGATTTCCCAGGCAGCGATCGCCGTTGGCCAGATGCCACAAGGAGCAACCCAAGGAAATGGAACATTGGCAGGGTACAATAGAGAGATCACAAGCAACCAGTCGAAACTATCCTTGACAGGCTCTTTAGACACTGCTGCTTGGGTTGCATGGAGGAAAATGACGTCAGTTGAAAGAGCCCAATTTCACTGTTTCATACGTGGATACTCTCACCAGAATTGAAACAAAGGATGTGGAAACTTGAACGCCACAAAAAACACGTCTGACTAAAGTTGCCTCAACCGACCAGTACGGAGGCCTGATATCGATGGAAGCAGCTCCTTGCATTCACAACTCCCTACCGGTATCCTGTCCTGCAAAAATGTTCTCTATGTATTACTGGTTGATTTTGGCTGTTGTTGCCGCATTGTCATTGTGCTTGGTGCTCCTATTGATCAGTGGCTGTAGCAAGCAGCATGATGATGAGACGGCCGTGGAATTGCTGGCCTTGGAAAAGGGGTTTGCGCGTCTTGTTGGTGGACCCATGACAATGTCCACATTGACGTGGTTCAAAGGTGATTGTAACAAGGGAGTCGTGGAGAGACTGCAACGAAGATCAGAAGAAATATTAAGTGCAAACCCATGGCTAGGAGGTTTGTACTGGTAGCGGCATTCTTGAATGATTGAATGGATCTACATAATCGATCTCTAATCCCCCATTCCCAACTTATTACCGCAGGTCGGATTGTCAGGAGAAGTGGTCGCCTCTCGTTGGTCTTTCGGCCCTATGATCACTTAGATCCAAGCTTGCACGTCATGAGGAACCCAAGGACTGCGAAACCGTTGTCTAAGGACGTACCATACGATGAATTGCAGAGCCATCTACGGAACCTAATAGTGAAAGATGGCCCTAGGCAGGTGCTGTGGAAAGTCTATATTATCCCTTGTTGCAAAAAGCCGACGGAGAGCTTTGCCGTGATGTGTTCAATGTCTCACGCAATTGGCGACGGGCATACCTTCTATCGCAAGTAGACATGGTTGTTACTGGATGCCGACCACTCCGTTCTCATCTAACCGCGTTCCCTTCGTTCTCACCAGGTATCCATAACATGCTGCTAGACCCTGAAGAAGAGGTGGAGGCCCTTGATCCTACACGTATCCTGTCTACCGAGAAACAGCAAGAAGAAATCATGGGAGGTAGAACCGGAGCAAGCATGTGGCAATCATCCGGTTTCATTGCCAATATGGTCTATGGGTTTGACAATGCATTGCTGACATGTAAGAGAAAAAGAAGGGTTGTCTTCCTTGTGGACTCAGATGAGATGGAAGCCGCCAAGAGGCGAGCCATCTCTCCAAACTCCCCCGACGGATCCTTCGTCTCGACGAATGACGTGTTGACAAGTTGGTTCTTGCAGAAAAGTAGATGTAAGCACGGATTCATGGCTGTCAATTTGCGGGGCCGCCTCGACGGACATTCCGAAGCACTTGCTGGAAACTATGAAAATGTCATATTCTACGAGCTTGAAGATTCGGCAACGCCTGGGTTGGTGCGGCAATCCATCATGCCCGGCACAATCGAAGATGACTCATCGGCTCCTTGGCTGCAACGGGTGGTGACAAGAGAAACACCATTGCCGGGATTCTGGGCAATGGCCTCAGGATCTGTTGCCGTAGCCACCAATTGGTCAACTTTTGCAAAACCATGCGCACTCGAGGGATGTCAGGAAGAAATTCACGTCCCAATCCTGAACTTTGGCATTGCGGTCCCCTCAACCCTGGCCATACTCATCATTTTCAGGTCGGGACCGCGTGGGCTGGCGGTACTCGTTGCGGGCACCAACGATAGAATTGCCGATCTAGAAAAAGGAGCGCCGTTTCTGACTCCAGAGTCTCTCGAGTTCTGAACCAGAGCGGCAGCCCCGAGGCGTGGCTGATACCAATGAGGAACCACCAGTTCAGGTAACTTTTGAAAGTACTCGATGCTGTATTAGCCACCTTGCGGATTGAATCAGAATCAATGATTCAATCATTCGAATCATTCAAAGACTAGTAGGGAACCTCCTCTTTTGCCACTGAATACCACTCTAGCTAGACTAGTCTACGCATTCCGTAGTACCGGCTGATGACAGCCATGGCCAATCACACACGCTTGGCATCATGCGAGATACTACTGGGGGGCCCAGCATAAAAGGAAATTTCGCACCAATTTTTTGTTAGACACTGTTAAAGCATGACAATGGCCAAACAAAGGCACCAGGAGCGGCAACAACACTCACCATGACTACTAACATCTTATCGGAGCCTACTGTGGCCATAGCAGCCGGTCTAATCATCGGTTTCCTGGAGGTTAACGATCATGTCAATCGGCATGTCTTCTGTCGTCGTTTCGAAATTCGGAAGTACATGTACCGGATAAACGATCGAATGCTGCAATCGAATGAATCATCACAATCACATCGAATGATTCAATCGAATGATTCGATTCAATCTCAAAATGATCCACGCATCCGAAATTATAAAAAAGTAGCTCACTCTCCTGACGTGGCATCAATTTCCTAAGCCAAATTTGTCATCGAACTCGTTTCCCGTTGCAAGCCAAGGGGGCATTCAAAGGCTGTCACAAATATATTCTTCAAGACTGACAACATGACACATGGAAGCGACGCATCGACGCATCATCTCTTTGTCAGTCCCTTCTGTCTGCTGCGTTGAATCTTTCTACTCCACCATCACAAAACTTGGCGACGATCGAAGATTACTAATCCTCAGTACCGGAACTACTAGCTTTAGGAGTGTGAAGTAGCACTCATTTCATTTCAAGAGATCGACAACTGCAAGCATGGGAATGACGAAACGACAAGCATTTATACTGATGGCGATCATCAGCCGACTATCGGGTACATCAGGTTTTGCTCGAACTTTGGATCCTTCCGTCCCTGGGATACTCTCTTCCACGCTAAGAGAATCAACTGCTCTTGTAAGACATAATGAGATGTTGCGAAGTGACATAGAGTCGGCGTGGAGTGGGTTGCAGAATGCAGCACAAGACAAGCATATTTGTCAGGATGTTCCGCAATCTATCAAAGAGTCGAAGAACGTTTGCACCAAGGAGGGAAACTACTTTGAAGAATATCGGCAAGGGCCACAGGTAGCTCAAATACTGGCATCTTCGACGTCCAGCATCGGGGGGCTTTCTCGTGAAATTCTTCAGAACTCTGTGCTATCATTTATCACTTGCTTGTGTTTACCCAAACTGAGACTGTCTCCTGTTTTGATGACTTTTGTGATCACCTTGTTGAAGCGACAACTGTTCATGGCGAGAACCCATAGCTGGTACGAATAAATAAATAAACAAATAGATGCATGCAGACATACATGTTCTCCCAACTATTTATAACCTATAGGAAACAAAATATGTTGGCAATGTAACATCTGGTGTTCTCGCTGTGCATTTCTACGGTTGCGTTTACAATGGAAGTCAGGTTTCGCAGCAAACATCTCACTCGGAGATGCCTGGCCCTGATTGCATCGCAAATCACAACGGCAACATCTCTGACCGTCGCTGTTGCAGCCCTCTGAAGTCATATGCTGGCAAGCGAAGCACGACGTTGTCGAGAAGAGGGGTACGGTACCTGGTATGCGAGTCAAGCTGCTTGAACTAGACATCAACCGTCATGGGCAGGTCGAGGAAGACGAGCGAGGCCTGCTGCTGGACCAGTTTGTCCTCGGCAGTTGGAGCAGGTGTGACAGTGAGTCCTACATTTGGGCCTGATGCTCGTTTCTCTGCACGCTTTTGAGTTGAGCCTGGTGCTGGCCAAGTCTGGTATTGGTTCAAGGTGCAGGTGCAAGTGCAAGTACGGGTCCTTGTCAGAGGTAGGCCTGGGGTTCGCGAAGCAAGGCTTGGGCGACGATATGTCCTTACGAAAGGCCAGGAGTTAGCCCTGTGCGGTGCCAGCAATACGTGTGTATGCTTATTCAGATGCAGATTTGGGATAGGCGAGGAGCTGTCACTGGTGTTGGGCACTGAGTCAGACAGTATGTTGCCCTGGTGCAGGGTCGAGTGTGAGTTTGAGTCCAGCTTTTTGGGAAGGGAGTGATGGGGTTTGATTTCGGATCTGGTGTGTCCAGAAAGCAACAAGGCTACGAGGAGATGGGTGCTGGGGCCATAATATGTTATTTAGAGTCAGAAGTGGCGCACAAAACAGGTCGAAGTCCAGGTGTAGGGCTTGGTGTCAGGCCAACTGTTGGGTCAAGTGTAGGTCCTGGTGTGGCTTGCTATTTGGCTTGAGCGTGCTAAATTTGGCAGAATGTCAGTCCTGGTGTTGGGCGGAGAGCCATCCAGGAGTTGATCTTAGCCTCCTCGTGTTGGGCCAGAAGTCATCAGCCGACAACCTGTCCATGTTGTGTTTGATCACAAATTGGATCTATTGTGACAGTGGCCCGTGGCGGTGTACTGGTACAAGCAACGGTGCTCCACAAGTTGTAGAGCATTTCCTCAAATCCAATTCAAGCCAAAAATGTTGTCAAAATTGCCTGCGACCTTCGCCACTTGCAACCGCGTCGCGCACCACTTTTTCCGATGCAACGGCAAATTCCAACTCACGAGGATGGGGACAGGAGCATCGGTGCACAAACCCACATTACTACTTCGAACCAAGATCCTTCCCATGACAATGCAGGCATTCAAGAGGAGACGGGAAGACCCAGCTTCCTCGGGGGTCTATCTAAAGCTGTTGCTTGTGATCTTGTCAACCGTTTTTCTTGAGAGACAAATCGGATTGGCATCACAGGCTACCCAACGGGGCCTTTCAGCAAAGCAAACCCTCGATTCTCCTTCGATTTCATCCCTTCCATTGGATAAGGGCAGAAGAGGAAAACTGATCAATCGCCACGACTATGTTGCAGAAAATCAACCTAAAGATCAACAAGATCCAAGTTTGATATTCCGAGAGCCATACCGGTACGTTCGACCGCCACGACCGTCCATCAGCCAAGGCGAACGTTTTGCAAACTACAAATCGAGATATCATTACACACCACCCAGTAAAAGACAGTCAGGGCAACTAGCACCCGAGTGTGGAAATGGGCCCCACTTTTCAAACTTTTTCAAACTTCCATACACTCTGCGAAGTCATTTGCACGAGGACTGGACGATTCATCGAGTCTTTTTCCAGAACAAGATGCCTGACAATGGAACTTATGTGGAGCTAGGCGCGTTCGATGGTTCCACAGACAGCAACACAAGGTTTTTTGACAGGTGTCTTGGCTGGAAGGGACTTCTCATAGAGGGAAACCTAGCATCATTTGACAAAATGAAAGAGGCGCGTCCGAGCGCCCACAAAATGAGCTTTGCACCCACTTGCTCGGCAGAGTATGAAATGGTGAACAAATCGGTTGAATTCTACAAATACCCCCTGACGAATTCTGGGCAAAAAGGCAAAGCCATTATTACGTATGAGGGAAAGCCTACAGTCCCGGTACCATGTGGTCCGCTGGGTCCAGTGTTGGAAGATATGTTTCCGGGCGGACAACGCATTAACTTCTTTTCGTTGGACGTGGAAGGATCCGAAGCCCTGGTTTTGAGAACCATTGACTTTGAACGAGTTCACATTGACGTGTTGATGGTGGAAGTTGAGAATGCCCATTGCCTCGACGACAACTGTGCCGTGCGGCAAGAGGTTCGCTCCATTATGGAACAAGTTGGCTACAAACGATACGAACGCATAGTGCGGGCTTCTGATGTTTACGTGCGACGTGGATCTGAGTTTGAGCTGACTAACAAAACCTCTGCTTCATAGTGCACCAATTCATACCTCATGTGCAAGTTGATCACCAGCATGTAAGTCTGAGGCGAAGTACATGTAGGGCTTTTCAGCTTTCTTTTAAAAACTTAAACTATGCTGACAATCGGGGGCAACTATTATGCTTGGACAAGAGCCGCCTCGTAATCCCTGCCACTTGGCCTGCCATACCGCCTTAGCCACCAAACCCTTCTGCTCTTATGAGCTAGTCATTTCGTCAGCAAAGGACGGGATCAAAAGGTCGTACCTGGTACTAGTAAAGGACTTGAAAACAGGAAATCCTAACTGACACCAGTGAATCGAATCCATGGGCAGCATGGAACAAGGTTCTCAGATAGCCTTGGCAGATATCCACCCATGTTTGTGGGACTACTAGACTGGAAATAGGAGCATTGTCGAGTTAAACGAAGAGCCTGGTTTCAGGGTCTCTTCTCTGAAAATGATATCCCGAAATGTACTCAAGGAAGAAGCAATTAACTGTTGTTCCATGAACCTCGTGAGCAGTTTGGAATTGCGAAAGACAGACGACACCAGCCTTGGAGGAACAAAGGTCATGACCATGACCATGCGGCATGCTTTCCCGTTTTCGATCGGATCAAAAGTGACTTGCCCAAAATTTTTGAGGCCCGAAACAGACTCCCATTCAATGAGAAAAGGTCGATCTCCACGGGTAGCTATCGAGATCCAGGAATAGGAGACTCCCAGAACTTTGAGAGTCCATTTGCTTCTCGTGGAAGCATCGTCTATGAATTCCACGGAATGCAACCAAGGGGACCATTCGGGTTGTCGGGTAAGATTGGAAAACGCATCGTAAGCCACTTCGGCCGAGAACGGCAACTCGGCTTCACTGGACACGGAGAGTGCCCTTGGAGGCAGACTCTTGGTTGTTTCTACCGACGAACATTCTGCAAAACATTCTTCCAGTCGGTCTCTTTCTGTAGGTTCGTGCAATTCCAATTCTGGATCTACCAGTGACTTTCCAGACAGCAATTTAGCACTTCTTGTTGTCGCTTGTCGATGAGGAGCAATCCATGATGGGTGCGAGAAAGCTCGCGAAGTCGAAAAAAACAGCAGCAGTGTTGCGGCTACACGGAGAGACATGGTGGTGATACAGTACGGTAGCTAGCGGACCACCTTTACGCTAACTTTAATGACACAATCAACTGCTTGTTCCCTCCCGGGTGATCAATCAGCATGTTGGGTACCAGTAATAGTGATAATAAGAGGCTGTGGTAGAGATTTCTTTCATTGTGATTCATTCGATTCAGCTTCAACATGCAACCTGTTGGTTCCTGGGTCTGCGGCGATCTGACGCACCTCTGTCGAAGACCACCCCTGGTGAGTATTTACGAATCTGCTGGCTTCAATGTCGATGTCGGAACTGCCGTCGATGCCGCGCGGACGAAGAGACCAAGAACGGACAGCTCACGGATTAGCTGGATCACAACCGAAACCAACCACTGAAACCTTGCCAGTCCTGTTGTCCTGTCAACATGCGCATTCAAGTTCAAGCGCTAGCTAGCTGGCTAGAGGTGATTGTCTGTGGCTTGTCTCGCTACTAGCTAATAGTCTGACGTAAAATGTAGTAGGGGCCAGAGAAGGAACAGGAAAAAGAAGAGGTCATACTGTCATACTACACCAGCAGGAAGAAACGAGGAAGTATTCTACGAGCAAGCGAGGTGCCGAATGAGCTCGAGGCTGCTTCATCTGTACCGGTACCACGTACTCGGAGGCCAGGTCACACTGTGTTATACTGATCAGAATTGAATGCACCTGGTGATGTTCAATGTTTCTAAAAAAGGTCAGTTGCTTCGAGGAGGTCGCTGGCCAGCAAGAGCCAGCTTCATGTTCCCCGTTCCACGTAGTAGCTACCGTTGTAGCCTGTTCTGGCTTGCTAGTACCGTAGCAGACGCCTCGCACTGCGGCGGGGGTGTTCCTACCCTCTTTGTCAAACCCTCGCTGAAACATTGTTAATTCATAGTCATTTGCAAGGATGTGTTTGAAAACAATGGAACGAAAGCCAAATATCCATGGTAAAGAGTTCTTCACAGCATAAAACATACATGAAACCAAAGCTCTTTTCCTGTGACAGGCCCCTGAAGACTGGGAACAAAAAGAAAGATTTCCCTTGCTTGAAGACTGCTCTGCGAATGCGAAGGAAAGTGATTCGATCAAAAATCAACAGAGACCAACAAGGTGCCGACCAGAAGTACCAATCACTCTGTCGCCCCCAGCAACCAGCAGTGGCCCAGCGGAGATCTGGCAACAAAAAACAGGATCACACAATCGAAACACGCAAGAGACCTACCACTCGGTTTGTTGATTGAGTGGTTGCTACTTCACGGGAAACAAGCGACAATGGATCCCCAAGCAGAGACGAATGAGCAAGACAGTGCGCCTCATCATCCCGAGGAAGTCTTTTGCCCTCCAGAACCAGGAGACCAACAGCCTGGCATTGAACAACAGTGGAGGGATCAATTTTGTTCCGACAAGGTGGACTGTGATGATGATGACGACGACGACGACGATGACGATCACTGGGCTGTCAACAATCCCTTTGAGCCCCTTGTAGAGATGCAACGGAACAGGAACAGGAACAGGAACATCAACCCACCAGAGGATCCCTTGCTTGATGAGGAAGATTCTGTTGCACCACACATTGTGCCATCGGGCCCCCACGATCCCCTTCGTATGACACTCTCCACCGAAGAAAGACGTTGGGCAAGGTTTGTCAAGAAATGCATTGAAGAAACACCTGATCTGGATCCCATGTCAGATTTCTGGTATGCACAGATATCATTGCTAGATGACGATGCAGATGAAGTTTTGGCCAGGGTGTACAAGCTGCAGGTCTTCCAAAAGGAGTACAAGATTATCGAGTCATTGGGTCAAGCACAACAGATTCTTCGCAAATTCATAGATCTGTTTCCAGGGTACTTGCTAGCACTGGAATATTATCCCCCCGAAGGCAACTATGTACTCACCTTGGACCTTGCAAGATTATACACAAGTGTCCTGGACACCCACAAGGATGGATTTGAAATATTTCTGAAGGCAATGTACTACATATATCATGCCATGGCTCCAGACCTGTTGGCCGTCAGAGAAGGTGCCTGGGGAATCATTGAATGTGAAGGCTTTGATTGGAAAAAGGTGCGTTCATTGATTTGATGAGATGCCATTTGTCATGGGATGGGAATAATGTTTGCTCAACCTTGGTTATTGATGTGACCTTTCTGCTTTTTCCATTTTACAGAATTTTGGCTTGGGGATTCTGAGACCTTTCTGGGGAGAACTTTTGACAGCCTATCCGATTCAATTTGTGAAAGTCAAAAACTTCAATACTGGGTTCTTCGTGCATTCCTTGGTGTCCATGAGTAGGAGGTTTCTTCCCTTTGAACTTCACAGTAAGATTGAAGTGGGTCTGACATGTGAGTTGGGTAGGCTGGATAGACTCTACCTGACACCTAATTTGCAAGCAGCCAATGAGCGATTCATGACACATGCCACAGAAGCTCTCAAGAAACGCTATGCCAATGAGGCCAGTTTTTCTCTGTAGCTGGTTCCATCTTAAAACAATGTTGTTGTGTACTACAGTTTTAATGATATGATGCCAGGTACCAGTATGGTACCAGCACCTCCCGACACTACCAGTACACTGTGCACCATTGGTTGGGAGTCTTGCATGGATCCAGTCCGGCCTGATCATCAACCAGAAGGTCCTCAGTTTGTTGCCCTGATCCCCAGCACTACCAGGTAGCTAGCTAGTCACACCCCCCCCCCCCCTCTTATTTGCCTGGGGGTGGAGAAATCCTTTGCTCATCGTTGCTTAAGGTTTTTGGCGAGGCATCCATTGCTTACCACTGCCAACTGCTGCCTGCCGCTATCTTTACCACTGTTTACCACTATCTTTACCGCTGTTTACCACTACCTCTACCACTGTTTACCGCCATCTTTACCACTGCTTTCTTAACCGCGCCGACCCGCACAGTAACGGCACTCGGACAAGCACTAGCTAGCTGGTACAGTACCAGGAATGCCGTACATCGTACGGCTGCACACGTCTCGTTCTGTGGTTCCGTGGCCACATCTGTGACAGACGACAGACCCCACGAAACCTCTGCGCCACGGCACAGCCGAAACGGCATAAACTTTGCACCACCTCCAGTGCCGAGCGCAAGGGGATGGGCAAATCTCACTATCCCTGTACAGTCTGCCCTCTCTAATATATATAAGGGGGGAAGTGGATCTCAGTAAATATAACAGTGACACTAAATATAGTACGTTCTGGAGGCTAGCCACTAGTGAAAAACGAATGGATAGAGCCGTCACTTTGCGTTCAGTAGCGCCGTCATGTTGGTCTAGGTCGGATTGGATCCTTTGGTATGGTTTGTGTGAAATTGTTTGGCAGTCACCTGAATTGTTTTTGCTCGTCAAAACCATCCTTCGAAAAATGCACGTAAACACCAGGGCTTGGGCTGGCACCGACGAGACAGCCTGGAGAGGTGCGGCAGAGATACCGCAGAGGTACCCAGAATGACACCTCCATTGGATCGATATCGGCATTTGACATGCTCTCGGTCAAATTGAAAAGGTTGGAATGGATTGTACGACGTTGTTGGCTGCTCGAAAGATTTGTTCCTTCATTCACGGATACCCGGGACTGGGGGGGGCCTCGAGATTTAATAATTATAACAGCGACAATAAATACAGATTATAATTATTACAGCGGGCAGACTGTAATTCTCTCTTT